TATCCCGAAAAAATATTCCTTGATGCATACAATTTAATCCAGTTAATTCCACACTTACAACAACTTCACTAAATATGTCTCCAAAATACGAGTATTTTTTGTATTCTTTGAAAGCGTGTAATTCGATAAATTATATACATTTTTCAATATTTTTGTGGAGAATATTCTGAATTTCAGGTATCTCTGGAGTCCGACATTTTTTATCCCGAAAAAATACTCCCTTGTTGCATACAATTTAATCCAGTTAATTCCACACTTACAACAACTTCAGTAAACATACGAGTATTTTCTTGTATTCTTTGAAAGCGTGTAATTCGATACATTATATACATTTTTCAATATTTTTTGGGAGAATGTCCTGAATTTCAGGTATCTCCGGAGTCCGAGATTTTTTGAGCTCCGGTTGTGTGTGAGGGTTGCCAACCTCAGGCACTGCCTGAGGTCCGAGATTCGCATGCCGCATGCCGTGAGTGTAGCTCAGCAGCGTGAAGCGAACACGCACGTTCTATTTTACAAGCGATTACGCTATTGAAACGTGCAGGCGCATGTTCGTCAAAGAATATGAATATTATTATTGTTTATTTATTATTATAAAAATACGATGTTTAGAGAAACAATGTTAACAAACAACAAAAATGCTGCTTTACTCGTAATCTATATTTCTAACCCCTGCGTAATTGTATCTCACGTGTAAGTTTCAGAGTCATATTTCACTCCTGCTCTCGTACGGGGATGTCACGGGTGCCGAGGAGAGATTTATTGAACCGCCTGGTGTTACTGATGGCAACTACGGGTACCTTGATTTCACTGCACTATGACTTCCAGATTCTGTATCGTTTGGCTTACGACATTCATGTCGGTGTCGTTTCGGTCGACGTCATAGGAAATTGGTGGCGATGTATAAAATACTCACGGTATGACTAATGGCGAACAAAACTCTCTCACAAGTGAGATCCACTGAAGTCGGTGTAGCAATGGAGGCCAGCCTTACCACCTACCCTTACAATTATTGCTCTTTTCACACATTTATCTTTTACATTGTTTTTTTCCTCTTCCCTTCAATACTTTATGTTAATGTATTAGGCGCCGTCCATAAATTACGTGACGCAAATACGGAGTATTTTGAATGCCCCCTCTCCCTCCTGTAATACGCGCATGTACCCCCCTCTAATAATTCTTCTGCTCCAATTCCTCCACTTACTCCTCTTAAACCTCCTCTTCCAATTACAACAAAATTAAAACTAAATTATAAAGCAAAAACTATTTGTATTAATTCTATTAGTGTTATACATTAAAATTTAATTTAATTAACGTGAGAATTGGGGGTGCGGACTGCACATAACAAAAATTTTGAGGACAATGTTAAGGAAAGAGGGTCAAAATGTAACTTTTAAATGTATTATATTTTTAATTTAATATGGTAGTGTTTTAGTATAAGACTGAATACAAGGAATTATTTCAGCAAATGTTGAAGCATTTTAAAAATAAATATAAGCACCATGTAACACTAAACTATCACCCCCCAACGCAGCATAACGCTGCCTCAACCCCCTCCCCCCCTCTTCAGCGTTTCGTAATTTATGGACGACCCGTTATCCTTGTATTTTTGTTCTCCGACCCCTTGTCGTATATTTGTAGTTTGCGTACTTACATAGAAGACAGTGGGTTCCCGAGCAGGGAATAAACTACTTACAATGAAAATACAACAAAATATATGAATTTAGTCGACATGCCATTGGATTAAAGAGAAATAAATATCGATTCGGTTAGCCCCTAAGTCCGATTTATGATAAAACACCCAATGCCAGCTGTTCTGCCTAGGTCCGAATCGTGGCGCGTTGAGTCACTTCAAACGCAAGCCTTTAGTTGGCAGTTAAAGAACCAAGCTCAAGAACTTCTCTTAGGCCGTTCAACCCAATTAAAAATGGATTTTTATGAACGTAAGGGCGCTGTATGCCGTTAACACACGCCGAGGAAAAGTTGACAAAATGCCAGGATATCCTTGGCTACAGCGATTACGATCATTTTCACACTTAAAAGAGCGCATACGTTAAAAATTATAAAACAAACTGTCCTCATATCTATCAGCTCAAAATATACATTTTCCCGAAAAACATCAAAGCAATTTTTTTAATTTGGTATTTACATTTAGAAGAAAATATGTGTCGATGTATCTCTTTTCCCTCTGAGAAACCGCACTGATAGAGCCCACTTAGAAAATGTTTTCAGCTCTGCAATACGCAGGATGGGCCTGACTTTTCAGGATTAATCTCTACAAAATAGTAGCAGAGAAGGCTTGTGATCATCCGAGGAAGTGGGACCAAAACTACCTCAAAGCAACAACTTCTCGCTCTTCTCGGATATCTCTCTTATTCCTGCCCAGACTTTTGAAAGATGTGCATAAACTGTATGGTTGTTGGACATCCTTCACAACGTGCAATTGATTACTGCGAAGTGAGAGTACAGCATCTATTTGGTTTTGTGGTATAAGTTTATTCACTCGACCGTGGTAAGAAATAATTTGAGAAATGTCAGGGTTTATTTACTATATGCTTCTTGTGATAAGAGGAAAAGGTAGAAGTGCTCAGTCACAAATTATAATAATTCACTGTTAAATCTTACTCGATTAACATGTATCAATGCAAAACAAATTTCAATTCTTGAAAATGAAGAAAATCACACGCTATAAGAAAACGTACAAGAAAAGGGCATATAAATTCAAGAAAATAACTTTAAAAGCTCACGGTACATTCAGATGACAGCTTCAGGTAACAGATGAAAACATTTGTTTAGTCTTAACTCTAAATAAAATTTTGTACCGTAAATTAGGATCCTCTGTAATTACATTTAAAATAAAAATACCTTTCAGTAAATCATATGTTATATGGAATCAACGGAACTTTGCAATTAAACTTACAACAAAATAACATTATAATAACCTTACTATTGCATACTATTAGTTGATTCAAAACCAAACCTTTCGTACAAACAAGTATTATTTACAGAATTTGTTTAATAGTTTTTCTCTCACGCTCGCTCAGGTATGCGCTTAATTTGAATATACATTAAAATCACTTATTTTTTCTGTCGATGAACCAAATTCAACAGTCTAGAAATGAGAAAGCGAATGAAAGCTTTCTCCCTGCCCTTATCACCGGCTTCTCATCGCTCTTCGGTTTCCTTCGTTCACGGCCTTGAGCGTTTAACAGCTTCCTATAAATTAACTGTTCTTTCCCTTCTTTCTTTGCACTATCTTATATTTATCGGGAAAATCATCTTTTGGAAACTATGTACTAGTTGATGGAACACAGTTGTCTAGTGCTGGTTACTATTTAACATTGAAATGATAATCTGAAAGAAATTACAGCGTACAGTCGGTAGGAATGGTGTAACACAGTATCTTAAGAAATAATACAGGGGACTCGTATGTGGAAATATTTATTCTGACCTACCCCACGTTTTGGCAACCGGATCTTTTCCTACTTCTTGAATTCACGTACAAATAGGTGTTCTCCTCTCCCAACCTCCTTTGTCATAGGTAAACAACCAAACGCCACTATTTAAGCTTACGCCAGGAACAATTATTATTAAAGATCCATCTCTGAGCACAAGGGTTCCCTTGAGTGGAGAACGGGCTCAACAGAAAGCTTTTGGCTATCCGGGACGCCGCGTCGAAGGCTGTGATGCCGACATTTTGAGCATCTTGTCGTGATCTTCCTCACAGCTGGTCTGATCGCAGACATTTGCATCACAGCCTTCGAGGCGGCGTCACTCGGACAGACAAGAGTACTCGCAAGACCATGGCTGCAGAAGCCTATGACTTCACGGTCACCATAAGAACTGTGTCCGAACTGCATCAACATTCACGTACCACAGGAAGGGCATAATTTTTATTTCTCTCGGTTTTTTGAACTAGAGAAAATTCGCTACAGACGTAAACGAAATCATGAATCAAACGGACATAAGAACATTGATGTTTTTGTATTAGGAAACATATCTCTGGGGCACGATATGTTCATACACAACTTTGATCTCTGTTTTATATTTCATAAGATTCTTCCGAAATCAACGAAACGCATTTCAAGTATAGTAGAATATATTTTTCAATTAGTTACCTCTATTTCTATGAGAGTTTCCTAAAGCATATGATGTGAAGTGATTCGTTGAAGTTGCACCTGGTCAGAGATCTTTCCTCTGCAATATGCTTCTCTTTCCGTGACATCTGTTCACCACGCCGGTTCGTACCTAAATGCTGAGACTTGCGCAGCAACTGTGAGCATATTTCGATAAGAGCCAGGCGGCGCTTCGATCCATCGATCTTGCGACGGGTCAGAGAGTTGGATCCCTGAATTAACTTCGCAGGACGCGGGCTTTTCAAATCTTTTCTTCCCGAAGACCTGCGAATCTCCAAATACGATGATGAACTGTCATAATACGAATACGTATTCGCTCAGCGCACATGCCGGATCGGTGCTTTTAGAACAATTAAAATATTATTCACTCACGTGTACTGATTTTCAATTGACTATTTTACCGGCTTAGGTGGCATCAATTGATGTCACTGCAGCGCCTCTGATCGGAAGGTGTTAGCATTCGAGTCCCGACGGTGGCAGAATTCCAACACTAAATAGACAGCTAGGTCGAGTTCAGCCGGTCTAGAGGAGAATTCTAGCGACCTGGTACAAGAAATCGGTAGTTTTCGGTGGTTGCTTCTATCAACACCAGGCGAATGCCGGAGGATTACTCCAACAAACGGACCATTGACCGCGCGCGATCTTTCCTCCCCCTTCCTTGTCTTATCGTCATCCCAAACTTATATTAATATACATCACACTTCCTCCCATATCTAAAGATCAGTCGAGAGCTTAGTACGTGTCTCAGCTGGGTTCCAGACCGGCTGGTGGGAGATACCTGGTAGAGGCAAACCGCGCTAGCCGACATGTAGGTTTGCGCCGGATCTGGCCATCCAACGGGAGAAGATCGCTTCTACCTCTCCCGATAAAAACATTCACTATACTAACAGGAGTAATGACCTTGATGACGTATCCGAAAACATAAATAAATAAATAAATAAATAAATAAATAAATAAATAAATAAATAAATAAATAAATAAATAAAAATTATTAAATAAATAAATTAAAAAATAAATAAATAAATAAAAATAAATAAATAAAATAAATAAGATTAAATAAATAAGGATAAATAAATAAATACATAATAAATAAATAAATAAATAAATAAATAAAATAAAAATAAATAATATAAATAAATAAATAAAAAATAAATAAAATAAATACAATAAATAAGTAAAATAAAATTAAATAAAGATACTAATATATATTACTATTGCCTGTTATTTATAATTGATTCGGATACCTGACAACGGCGATCTCTAACACCAGTGTGCCAGGCGAAGCAGGCGCGCAGGCGTTCGAGAGGGAGTGTCAGGAGTGGGCGTAGTGCGCATGACCCACGCAGGCGCTCCCATCGTTGAAGCCTGAAGCGGGAGGTGGCGCGCGGCGATGCAGGTGAGGAACGAGCACCTGCGCAACGCGGCCTGCACTTGCACCTACCTGCACGGAGGCCGCGCCCAGCGAGCAGCGCCCGCGCGCGGCGGTCCGCGGCCCCTGCCTGGGGCCCGCCTCCGCCCCCGCGCCAGGCGCCGGCGGCCCGCGCACGCCGCGCCGCCGCCCGTCGACGCCGACCGCCTGGCGGCGCTGGACAGCGCGGAGCTCGTGCAATTGGTTCAACTGTACGCTGACGAGAACGGCGCGCTGCGGCGCGAGAACGCGGAGCTCTTCTCCACGCGCGAGCTGCTGCTGCGCGACCAGGAGCTGGTGTGCCGCGAGAACGAGCGCCTGCTGCGCAAGCTCGAGGACGTCAACTCGTGAGTCCAAACGATTTTTTTTTGTTAACTTTGGAGAGACAAATTGTTGAATCGCCACTAGTTTATTATCGCCGGGCCCACCTTAACAGCTTTGTCCGACCCTTTACCCGGTTGCCATCCGGATGTGCTGGGAAATCTCCAGAGATACGAGTACTGCGACCAACGCCACACGGCTGGGTCAAGCACAGCTAAGTGTTCCCTGCACCTTCCGAGGTAACCCTTGGGTCCATCTCGGCTGGAATCCTCTACGTCTTGGAGTGTCTCGAGAGTTAGAAGCCGGGTGGGTGGCATTGTTGACAGGGTGTGCTGTCGGTCGCCCATCATCCCCGCGCGTCCTACCTACTCGGCCGAGATGCTCAACATGTCGCTGAGCGGCAGCGGGGACTTCGACGCCGGCGCCAGCGCCTCCACCAACGTCTGGACCAACAGCAGCCACCTCAACGGAGGCGCGCTGCCCGGCCCGCGCTTCAAGGTAGCCACCACAGAACAGCTAAAGTATTCCCGCCCAACAATGTTCTGAGAGCCACCGCCCGGTTCGTGGAAGGCCGCCACCGTACATCCAATCTTGTGGCATGCGTGTGTCACAATATTTTCTCAGGCTTCTAGACAAAGAATCCTCGTGTATTGTTTTCGTATTACTAAATACTGGGTAATGTGAGCGAAAGGATTCGTGTTTCTTGTCAACAAATTGTTTCTCCTCTTAATGCTATCTCGAACTGTAATATTTTCAGAATAATCCCATTCGGCTTGTCTTTGAGAATCCACAGCTAACGGTCCTCGGATAGCAATTAGTACGCCGTGGCGGGCCGCCCCCACAGGGGAATGGGAAGAGCAGTGAGGGAAGGAAGAGGCGATGCCCCGATCATTATAAATGCCTCAATTCTCTAATCTTTGAGTACGCCTGAACTAAAATATGTCGGTAAGTGGATTGTGCTTGGAATGCGCTGTATGAACGACACGAAAGTTGTCTGTGTTAATGTATTGAGATAGCGTAACCCAAACGTCAAAAAATCGTCAATTTCGCACAAATCTACACCAAGTCTTCGGTCTTCACGATTAACAAAAACATCTTTGAGTCAAACGGACTAAGAATTTTACCTTAAAATTCAGGAACTGTTTAACTTGATTCGCTTTGCCTGCGTTTCAAAAGAAATTATATCTATTTAACTTAATTAGAAACACCTTCACATATCCGTTGTATTAGAAATAACTAGAAGAATCCGACAGACGTTGTCCTGATCTGCCTCCCCTTTTTTATTTCAACTTTCTCTCTCCGTCTTTCTATGTATATCTGTCTTGGCGAAATCAATAAATCTGGTGCATCTGCCAGCATATTATTTAAATTCTTATTTTCCGCGTTTGTGTTCTATTAATCTTTACCAAAATTTGCAAGAAAACAACGTCAAATCCCGAAGAATAGCTTGTAAATATTTCGTATCTACTCATACACTTATTTTTATGGAGTTATTACATGATGGTGAATTCACTTTTATTAGAAGAGATTTTATGTACTGTCATCCCCCAAGTTGCATTGTACAGATATTTTACTCTTTTCAGTAGCTACCATAGACACGTAACTTTAGTAGCAGTTCAGAGTTACAACTTTTTTACTCATCGCCATTTATTTTGAGCATTCCACGCGTATTTCATTTATTCGTATGCTTTAGCAGTGTGCAAAAATCCTAGCACTCCAGCGAACGGTGCGACAGCTCCTTCACAACGCGTCGCGCGCTCTTTTCGCAGCAAGACATCCTGGAGGGTCGCAAGTCGGCGCGGCCGCCTCACCGACTGCCTGACTCCATCCAGAAGGAGCTGGAGCGACGCCGCATCGGCACCAGGTGACACACACGCCTCAGATTATTACCCGAAAATAGCCAGCAGCATCGCTGATTTTCACGACTCTGGACACCACCCCGGTTTTATTCTTATCTCTACGAATTAGTTAAATAACATGAACATTACTTTCATGTTAAATATGTTCTCCAAATCCAAAATGTACAAACTTAAAACCAACACTCAGTTCTTTGACATTGTTCAATATCTGTTAACACGTCTCGAGACGTGTTCTAACATAAAACACGTTACTACTGGTGAGAAAAAAGGCAAAATATTATCGCTAATAAGAGACACTAATTAACTCAAATAGTTTGAAAAGCAAATTTTAATATCCCGTAAAATGCTGGAATTCGGTTTAACTTCGTAAATTCTAAATGTGGCACTTTAACCAATGCCTATAAACCTACCCCCTATAGCCTATAAACCAATGCCTATAAAATGGTTAAAACTTCGATCCGAGCGGGGCAGTGTAAGAAAAATATGATAAAAGAGTTCGGGTGCACGATTTGACAAATAGAAACTGATTGGAACCTATAAGTTGCAATTAAATAAGTGAACTCGTTGTACATAGAACCGTACAGGAAGCTAGCTTACAGAGAACTTAATATCTAAGAAAAAATATACTTCTAAATCGTTGGCAACTTAACACAATCAAAATGTTGAAATTAATTGTGAGTAGTGGGATAAGCTCAGAAATAATAATCGTATGAACGGTAACGAACGAAACATTTTTTTAAATTTTGCTTTAAGACGAAAAACCACTTTAAGTGGCACCGCAACATTTCCCTTCCTTTGTAACCCCTTCCAGCTCTCCCAATCGCGAACACCGAGACAAGGCCCCCTGCCGCAAAGACAGCGACTTTTGTATTGTACGCCCCTGCTATAACAGAATACGACGGCGGTGTTCAATATTATACGAGTTGTAAATTATTTATTTTTACCCAATATTACTTTTAAAATAATAATAAATAATATCATTATATTCCTCTTTTATAGTTGTGACGATGTTGCCTTCATTTCTTCACGCTCGTTACCATGGGCTAAAGATGTATATAGGTTCGATTGAAAAAAAATTATAGTTGTGTTGATATCTCTCACATTAAGAAAGCGATTGTTTAATATTATACAACATCTTATGTGCCTCTCAAATATTTGTTTTAGAGAAAACAGCATCTCAATATCTGCAACGACTGAGGGGCAAGGGAACATCTTAAGTGAGGCGTCCGTATAGTACACCAGATAGTGATGCGACATCAATGTTCATATTCATCGATGTTTGAGGTTTCCAGTTAGAATGTCCTATTTTGTCGCTATTTTGAAACGCTAGTACTCAGCGTGCTACGTGACTTCTGACTTCTCTTTTGTACCTTGAAAAGCGCTTACCTCGCTGATGAAAAAAAATGTAAATTTAAAAAAAATCGATTTTAATAAAATACTGACCAAAAATGATCCATGCGTTTTAAAGCTGTTACAGTAACCTCAAACATTAAATTCGTGCCCATCAATGCAATCTGTGCAATTAAATTTAACAGGGACATCTCAAAGGATCGGACCTCAGTACACCAAAGAAGGGAACGGGAAGAAAGAAGGCCCTATGCTCACGGCGCATGCGTCGATCGCCTCTCCGTGTACAAAGTACAAGGAAACACATAGGAAATTCTAGGGATTCTGGCGCTCTCAGTGGTATCATTTTTCAGTTACAGTTTCATTTTCTAACTTTCAAATGGAAACCGTATTAGAACGCATAAAAAGAGTAGCAAATAATTTATATTATTCCCTTCCCTCATTTCATTCTACTCTGAAGTTCCACCTAGGCCGAACAACAAACATCCCAAGTCGAATCAAATCTAAATTTTCCAAAGGTATGCTTAACCCTCCCTCAACTAATAATATCATCCCATATCTTTGTAGAATATTTCACGTTTTCCTTCCTATTCGTCGACACGGCAATCCTAACACTTTATCTCCCATTCCACCAAACAAAATCAAGGTTAAATTGCAGTAGCTTCTAGAAGAAAACGAATGAATAAAATGAGCCAGAGATGTTTACCTCAATTTGTCAAGGAATGCCTAAATCCAAAAAAAGTCAGCATGTAAAACTGAAACCCCTCGAAAGACCTTTGGTCAAACGATAAGAAATACATTTTAAAAAATTCTAACTTTTACAAATTTGTAGTTATGGTAATTTACATTCACAAACAAAACATCGAGAACTTAAAAAATGAGCGCAAAACATTGGTGTTAAAAACATGGGCTTTAATAAATCAGCGTTTCCATAAAAACATGGACATCGCTGAGCGCATCCATATTACGAGCATTGAATGCGCACGCTGATGCATGTGCCTAGGACGGCAGACGTTTGCAAGGATATTCTGTGGCTTGTTTTCAGCATGACGAACATCGCAGATAACTACCGTGAGCGCAGCCACCGCCGCCACAACTCGTGGGAGAACGGGCCGGGCAGCAAGGAGCAGCAACCGCCCGGCAGCGCGGCGTCGGCCTCGTCGACGGCGTCCGTGGCGTCCGTCTCCGCCGCCAGCGCCTCCACGGCAGGCAGCCGCAAGCTCCCGCACGCTCATGAAGCCCCGCTCGCGTAAGTCGCCCACTTCTCTTCGAATAGAGTGCATTTTTAAATTCGCCGCATGAAACACTTGCGGTTTCGTGTTAATTCTACTTCTCAACCAACTGGTGGTGCCGCACAGTACCGGAGCTTCGTGAGCAAGAAACAAGGATGTGCAGTTCACATTATTTGCCAAGTGAATACAGAAACTGGAGGTGTGGACTACGAAAAAAGCTATTTGGTCTTCTCTCCTTCTTTGTCTTCTTGTAATTCATAATAATCAAATATTTTCTTAATATTAAGGACATACAAGGATTAAATTATTTCTCAACAATTTATAGTTACATCTGTAATATAATGTATTGTTTCGGTAATAAATTTTCATCTTCAGATAATTTACTATAATAAAATTAAATTAAAAAATATAAGCATAATAGGCAACACAACTGACACAATTGAAAAATTAAAACGAATATGCACGTCAATAATTTAACAAAATTAATACAGCCCAAATGAACTCAAAATGAGCTCACCTAGAATAAGTTATTCTATTGTATATAGTACAACAGTGTCAAAGCATGGTCGTGCATGGTAAAAAAGAAATCTATGGTTAATTGAATGTTCATTGAATGTAAGGTGTGAATGAGAATTTATTTTTTATATTTTAAAAAATTGCATTTTTGTCTTGTTTATTGTAAGTACGTGGCCGATAAATTAATTTCATGTCGACATTATAACTTATCTTTAAATCGTCTCCACGTATGTATCAAAGGGCGGTAAACAAGTGCTAGACTCATTTAGTGTGACCTCTGTATTTTCGAAAATTGCAAAAGTTAAACATTTAAAAATTACAATATTGAAGATAGACATTTTTGCTTGAAACAAAATCTGTTCTAAACTAGATACTATGCTACAACTGCTTTTGTAGTCATTTCTAAGTTTTACGTATGAAATAAGCATTAATAAAGTACTGATTCAATATTTGCAACACATTATAAGAAAAGAAAGAATAATATTTCTCATAAGCTTGACCTGATTACATTGAAAGGATATAATTAATTCTGAATACCACAATCAGCAAACAAAACTTTTCAATTAAAATAATTTATTGTATTTGTTAGTTCTACGTTAAATGTATTACTTTCGGTAAATATATTCCCTACCATAAGAATTTTATATTTATTATACGATCATCAGGACTACTAACAATGAGAAGCATTCCATAACAACCGTGTTGCCATTTTGCCAACTGACAGCGCCTCAAACGAGGCGGGGGAAATTCGAATTTACCTTTTCCAATTTTTTTTAAACTTCAGAGTGTGCCGAAAATGGGACCAGCATCACTTTGTTTAACGTTCTTTGCTACATACGTGAAAAAAAATAAGGAAAAAATTTGGAGCTGTTTCTGAGAAAATAATTGTTTTAAATTTAAAAATTGGCTCTTTCACTTTAAATTACGCAACGACAATTCATATTATCGAAAAATTTAACATGACTTTATATGAAGATGTTTTAATGTACACATTTCATTAAGAAACAAAATATTTTTATAACTGTAGTTGTAGGGAGACGCCCGCTTTTGGTTTTTTTTTTTTTTTTTTTTTTTTTTTTTTTGCATTTTGTGTAATTTCGAAAGATCAGGGTTTATTGAAAAGAAAGATCTGTAAATTAAAATTTATTTAAAAAATTGGTGCCTTTTTTTTTTTTTTTTTTTTTTTGCTATATCTCATGGATTTTATGTAAAGTACCCTCAAAATAAAAACATCGTTTCAGATGCAAGAGGCCACATCAGCCAAATCGATTGGGCAACATCAATTTGAAAATCCTGCTTTACGCGTTTAGCCGCGAACGTTGTTCAGAGACGGACGGACGTTTTGCCGTCAATCAATTTTTCAGTATCAAGGACCCAAAAGCCATGAACTCTGACTACGCATAGTTTTAGGGGAAGTAATAAATTTACTGTATATATGGGAACAAGAGTCATCCACTTTTTCGTTACCAGGGCCTGACAAAATTCTGTCGAAAATTCGCCGTCCGCAGCTTTACAAATTACAATGCTTTCTCTATACTGCATAAGCAGTAGCGAGATCGTAACTATTATAGAGATGCTAAAATAGCTCATATTTTCTCGCATTTTTGGAACTAGTTACGTAATATTGAAACATTGGAAACTCTGCCATTCTAAAAATTCAGTTACATGACCGGCGATTGGTGTTAAGCCCTAATTTGCAGTTAACCCGGAGAGTCCCCTACATACTCCATCTCCCACCAAAAATAAGTATGAAGCGAAAATCACAATTTTTTTCTTCTTCAAATTTTCATATTTATCATTAAATTGTTAACAGTTATTTTATGTAACTATGCTTTGAATTTTTTATTTAAACTCATTTAACAATTTTTGCAAATGTATGGGTATAGTAGCTATCACCCTACCCACATTATCCGCCGGACTTGCTCAGTTATAACTAGAAAAATTCAAATTTTTCCAATTCAAACAAAGCACTTGTGGTGAATATCTACTTTAATTCTAAAGCCAGGAACAGTACTCATTTTTAACTATAATATATTAAATACTCATGAATAAATTTAATTGTTACAGTATTTGCTGCAAGTAATACAGAAAAGTAAGAACAATTTCACACGTCTGCTTTGATTACACTGAACTGAGCTTTCAAATTTTGAATACCATAATCAGCAACTATATCTTCTTAAACTAAAAAAGTGTGTTTGCCAGTTCTAAGTTAAATTTAATTTATTATCTTCCTTCAATATATTTTTTTTTCATGAGAATTATATTTACAACATACAACCCTCACAACCAATGTCATGAATTTGAGGAATTTTTAAACCACTGTGTTCCATTTTGCGAACCAACTACCGAAACGCGTCAAACGAAATGCGTGAAATTCGAATTTACAATTCTTTTGTGTGTGTGTGTGTGTGTGTGTGTGTGTGTGTAATTTTCGAAACTACAGAGAGTGCGTTGAAAATGTTACCATCACCGATATACGAGTACAGTTCTTAGCTACATATGATGAAAACATTTAAAGAAAAAATTTAGGCCGTTTCTGAGAAAATATTTTAAAAATTAAAAATTGCGTACTTGACGCAAAATTAAGTTCTCATATTTTCGAAAAATTGAACACGATCTTATTTGAAGATATGTTTCTGATAAACACATTTCATAAAGAAAAAAATGTTATCTTAATAAATATTTTGTAGGAAGATACGGAATAATGTTTGAATTTTAGCAATTTTCGAAAAATCCAGGACTTCAACGAAAATGAGACCTGCGTCATTCTCATAAGTTTCATACCATTATCCGAGGTCAAAATTTAATCAAAAAATTCGGTGCCCTTCATGGAAAGTACCTCCCTGAATTAAAATATCGGTTTCAAATTTAAGGGTCTGCGACATCAGCCAGATCGTTTAGGAAATATCAATTGTGGTGAAAATCCTGCCTACTGCTGGGAACAGCCCCAACCGGGGCCAATAGTTACTGCAGTGTAGTCGCCGCAAGCTCCAAACACTCGACTGGACTTTCAACGTGTGTAGGTAGTGAATGTGTGTGTATAAGGAGCGTGGAGGGACAAGAATGAGGAAGGAAAGATTGCACATGATCCGTGGCCCCAAATACCTATCAGAACAGCCGTCCGCTAGAATTCTCCAATACACTGGTTGAATTGGATCGAGCTAAAATCGAAAATCTTCCCCGTCGTGATTTGAATGCCAAGACCTCCCTTCGATGCAGCAGATACTATGTAAACACTTTTGAATGGCGGGGAGGAAGTATGGCCGACTTGTTGTCCCCTCCGATCCGTCACTATATTGAATATCATTGGCGGAAGCTAATGCACAATTATTTCTGTAAAGGTAGAACGTTTTTCAAACACTCCGAATATATTTTGGGTTCAAAAATTTGAAAATGCTCATATGGTGCTACTTTAAATAGTATTCTGAATTTTGTATTTATTTTTGAAAAATAACTTTCATCTAACTTATAGGTACATATTTTGCATTTTTTATTACTAAATATTCCATTCACTAATGGTAACAAATAACATGGGACCCAGAGAATCTCCAAACAACCCTGAGACTATGTGAAATTCAAAACTATCCTCTACTTACCCCATCTTCATTGCATCAAACTGAATATTAAGTTTCTTTATACTCAGTAGCATACATGATCAAGAGCAGGAATTAATCAATACAAATTTATTGTAAAAAAACTTGTTTTATTTATCATAAAAAAACATGTACATCATCAAACATTTTAAAATTCTTGACCTGGCAGTCATCCCAATAACTTTCATAACAATAATTCAATATTGCTACTATTGAATCAGAAAATGATTTTTGAACTCATGTTCCAGTAAAATATTCAAACAGTAGATGTAGATTTATTAACAAACTTTATTTAATTGTTTGTAAATTGTAGTTAGATATATAACTTGTCAGTGATTATGTATTGTTAATGGGTGCATTGTACTTTGAATTTGCACAGTCACAGCACTCAAGATGGACACTTCCCTACCCTTCGTGGGACAGCAAAAGCCATTGTTAATAGCACCAATACACCAATACTGCATCAGCACAGTTCAGTCAAAGGAAGGAGTTACTTGTCCTCTAAAACAATTCCAGGTGAAAATATTTCAGCACAGTCATTGAAAAGAAAAAATTCAGATTCAAGTGCCTCCACTTCCTCAGGTGAAGAAGATACTCTTAAGCTGTCCCATTCCTCTCCTGAATCAACAATACAGGATGTCAGCGGTAATCTACATAAACAGCTTTCTCAAGCAGCCTTGACTTATCAGAGGGTGCCCGAACAGCACTCCCCTATTCAAAGGAAAGGGAGGAGTCTACTTGCACAGGTCCTAGCAGCCAGAGACAGTATTCACTCCTCCAGGTCAGATTCAGCCTTAAGGCCCCTCCAGACAGATCTTTCTTCTGAGGATGAGCTGCCTGATTCATCTGATGGAAACATTCAGCTTGCTCGCACTCTCAGTACTCTTAGGCATCCTGTGTCATCTACAAATTCTTTCTCTCAGAAACCACTGGACCTCTCAAACAAAAAGACGAATGCTAATGCTTTACGGCAAAATCCTTTTGGAAGTTTGCTTTCACTTTTGGATGAGGTCAACATTACACAGTCAGAGTAAAAGTAATAAATAGTTGTCTGCTTATTTTCTCTACGAAAGTTAATCAACTGGTTGGCAATCATCCTAGCTGTACGCACACATGGTGAGCCAATTAAAAGTTCATTACAAAATTAGGCGACGCTTGTGTGTTTAGTGTCTCCATGTCACCAATAATTTGCTTATGTACCACAAATTCATTGGCTTGATATCTTAGTATTGTATTACTGTGTATGTCTTCATTAATTCTTGTTTTATCAAGCAACGTTAGAGCTTTCAATGTTTCTGTTAGTACTATGTGTTAGATGTCAGGCACTGTCCACTTTCTACAAACAAGTCTCACTTAACAGAACTACCTCAGATGAAAGAATGTGTTTTTTTGTGCATGATTTACCAAAAGTGAGTCGCATAACACTTCTCAATACTGATATTTCTAAAAATGTGATTTATTTTTGCAAAATTCTCACAAAAACTAAATTCTATTCAATACTTCTTTTATATTTCCATTCCATTTGTCTCATTCATTATCCGTTTAAAAAATGCAATGAAGTATTTGTAATAACAAGTGTCATGAAGTGTTTTTTCAGGATAAGATACTTGAGATTCCATCTTTCTTTCATAATTTTCAACTTATTTCTATTGTTACGTTTTTGCAATTATTTACTTTCAATAACATTGTACAGGAACAGAACTCAAGCCTTTCATCCTACTGAACCTGATAATGAAGATTATGATAGTGGTAATGATAACAAAATTGCAATTACAATAAGTGAATATACCTACAAGTTCTGTCAATATACCCGTGCTTTCATTTTCATTGTCACATCATCATCTCTTGTCTGTCTCATGCTTTTTTCAATAAGGTTAAATGCAAAAAATGCAAGGCAAATAGAATAACATAATTATACTTCAACGAAAACAATATTTTAGTTTGTTGCCACTATGCATATTAAGATATTTTTTTCACACTGCTTATTTATTAAAGTAAAACAAGTAATTAGAAGTCTACTCAGAAAACAAAGCAAAATGTTTAAAAAAAAAAAAAACACATAAGAAAAAAAATGATTTTTTTAATACCTAGTCATATGCATGAATACAGATTGAAATATTTACAAAATATTTGTGTAGAAAAATGCATACAGAAACATTTTATTCAAAGTAATTGCATGCTTCCTTGTTTTACTTGTGGTTATTGTTTGCTTCCAGTCCCAGTAAATCATGCTATGGTTCCAGTGCTACAGGAAATATTTTTACTATTACAAATTTGTGTTTTACAGACCTTTCCAACCATTATAGCATTATTTTTTCTGTTTCAGGATTTACAGGTGAGAAAAAGGAAGAAATCAATGATGGTCAAACTATTTTTATGTAATCTACAAATTGAAATATTAACAAAACAATTATATAAACTAGGTTCATCTGTTTTATATACATGAACTTTCCACTGAACCAGTTTCTCCACTTCCTAGACAAATAGAATTAAAGCAGTACTGATTTAAAATAGATTAAAAAATATATATTTCATTGAAGAATAAAGGAGGTGAAATAAAAGGAAAGTACAAAAAGAAATAAGACGGGTGAGATATGTGATGTACTAAACCATAAAAATATATATGGTCCATTATATTCAAGTCCATTCGTGTTGTCAGGACTGACCAATGTGATAATGGTACAACTCTGACAATGAGAAGCACGCTGCAGCGTACACAGAAAACCACTATACATCTTACCCTCTTTGAAAGATACAGTTTGCAAACTTATGAAGTGACCTAAGTGAATAAAGTGAATACGGTCTAATTTATTAACAATTTCATATATTCCCTGTTGTACATCAAAATTGATATTTTTGTTGTTCCATGAGAGAAGCAATTCCAGTTCCAAGATCCCAAAACTCTCATATGCTCTCTGAAGTTGTTCACTGACAATTTTAATTCAATTTCACAACAAATATTATGGCAGGATAAAAACAGTTAAACAAATTTTAAATATTGAGTCATAAAGAATATATGAAATAAATTGTGAAAATGATCATTGTGGTTTAATATTAATTCATATTACATGACTAACAAGCTTTAACAGAACACTTTTACTAAAATCTACTTGTAATTAATTAACATTACATTTCATTAACAATTCCATTTCAAAAAGATGTTTCATTATTAGATAGTGTTCATCTTCGAAGTAGATCTTAATTATATTTTAATTTAGACAAATACAGCTATATGAAACTATTTTCTTCCAGTTACCAATCAATGTGTCAAATGAATAATGTTGGACTTCGTGATTATACTGAATTGCAAAAATGTAAGTGATGTTTAATACAGAGAAAAAAAATAAAATTTAAAATTGAAATGCCCTAATTTTCTTAAGTTCATTCCTTACAAAACTTTCAAGTAATTAATTAGGGAATTTAGAACAGATGAATAATAATTTTTCATATTTAATCATTTCATTTCACTCTCATAGTTTATAATAATAATAATAATAATAATAATAATAATAATAATAATAATAATAATAATAATAATTATTATTATTATTATTATTATTATTATTATTATTATTATTATTATTATTATTTGTATTACAAAATACTGACACTCATACAAATTCCTATAGTCACAACATACATGTAGGTGTGGATAGAAATCATATTGAAAAGAAAATGAAATTATGAACTGGTTAGATTATTCTTTCTATTGTACAAGTTAGTACAAGTGGTGAATGAGTTCTTGCTCTAATTTTGCTTCTAATTCCATACTATCTGCTGCCTGCAAATAAAAAATAAAAGTATTATATTTTTCTGTATTACCTACAAGGCTTCAGCCTAGTGGCTGGTTGCCATGTGGCAAGTTTAATGGCATTTTCAAAGACAATACGATTTGTTGTTGGAGTGTGTTTTCCAATGTTTTCTACGTCATATAACTTTAACAAAACCTTACAATGAATTCAAATGAGGAGGTTTTATAATTCTGACTACCTAACATTTAAAGGAAGTAATTTACTGTTTATAGAATCAAGATTTATCCACTTTTTCTTTACCGGCAATACTAGTTTTTCTGTCGAAATTTCGCCGTTTTCCAGAGCACGATTACAATTCTTTCCCATTTATGAAGAAAGAGCGAGAAAGTAAACTAGTGCTATAAAATCACATACTTTCTTGCATTATTTTTAAATTTTCAATTTTCGAATATTCAGTGATCAACGAAATTTATGGCAAAGGTGGCTATAGAGTGTGCCGACTCAGCGCCTCAGTCGCAAGTGTCAGGGGTTTGAGTCCCGCCATAGGCATGAACGTTCGTCCCTTGTTTTTCATGTACATGGGTTCATAGTGGGTACCCGGCGCGGAGAGTCGAAAATCGGCATCTCCTGAAGCTGAAAAAAAAAAAAATCCTGAAAAAGAGTTGAACGAAAATGAGACCTGCGCCATTCTTTTACTTGTTCTATCCATGGGGAAAAAACGAAGAAAAAATGGGAGTGGTTTTTGAGATATATTTTTATTTACATAAATTTTAACTCTTTCAAGCACGGGGCCATTGGAAAATTGTTTGTACCAGTTCACGGTTATCCAACTGGCGGCCTGCGGTGCCATTTATTGTAGTCGCGAAAGGCTATTAGTCAAAAGTGCATGACCCTTGCATTCATGTCGGGCGAGAGCATTACACACCTAGCGCACGCACCCTGCCGCAGTCAACACATTTAATGTAAAAGTAGGTTAGGTTTAGATTTAAGTTTTATTTTGTAGTAAATTAAGAAATTAAAAACCATTCCAAAGTATTTCTCCGCGTTATGCATTATACGGCCTGATGTCACGCATGGTTCTATCCACTCACACTCCCCTTCCAGAGCAGCCGAGCAAATTGCCAGCCAAGATGTCAGGTGTGGGTCGCCCAAGTAATGAAAATATGTATTTAATTGGCTGTCCGTGTGACGCCAGCAGCGGCCGCTGCTTATCAGTATTTTTGGGGGGGTTCGGCACGGAGTACGTACGTGCGCTGTGTCATTTTTGTAATAAGAAAAATATTTGGGGCCAATGATAGAGAAGAGGGAGAATTTTCTGCGTGTGCTTTCCCACGAATGTGTTTGATTTTGAGTTAGTAATTTATTTCTAGGCAGTTGGTGACTTATACAGGTCGCATCAAGCGACTATCGATAGGGAGTCTTTTGGTCCTAGATTTGATATTTTAATGAAGTACTGCTGATATCTTTGAAATGGGAAAGACGGAGTGGGATTTTGGAAGATGTTTGTTTCTATAGTTGCTAATTCATAAATTACGTTCGTAATAGGTTTTAACTTAATTTTTGCTTTAAAGGCATTTTAGATTGTTCCCGATTCGTAGCTGAAAGCTGTTCTAATGAATCGGTCTTCTACAATAGTGACCGTGACGAGGTTTGCTCGAGTGTTGGTGGCCCAGGATACGCAGGCGTAAATCCCTGCACTTCTAATGCAAGAGGCTTATGGTAAAATCTGCGTACTCTCTCTCAGTTTTGGCGCTCTTAATAGTGGACGAGGCAAGCGACAAGGGACCTGATCTTTTTAGCTGCTTCTGCGAAGTTCGTGCCATGTAAGTTTCTGATCAAATTTGATGACTAAATATTTTTTTCTCTGCGGGATGATGTTTCCGTCGACTTGTGTTTATTTATTTATTTACCTCAAAACAGTTTAAAAAACTGTGTGACGTGCTATGGGGAGAAGTTAATTTAAAGTTACGTTTATGTTCAGAAGCAATCCACTGGACCATCTCAGCATTTGCTCGAGGATCAGGGAAACTGGACGAAAACCTGATGGAGATGGAGGTCATTGACCCAGAAGTTTCGGAAACAAACATCGTGCCTAATTTTTATGGTTAAAGAGGCTGGCCACTGTTGCCGGATCGTACTCATGTCCATCGTTTTCTTTTAAAACAACGTTCTCTACAAGATTTCTAGTTGATTTGGTCGAATTTTTTACTATATTCCACATTGCTTTTGTTTTATTATTTGAGTTTGAAATATCCTGGTCGTGTTTCATGATTTTAACCTGCCGTATGACTTTTCAAAAATGATTTGTATTTTTTAAAGTAGAGGAGGAAACCTTGAGATACATTATGATGCTTAGAAATGAAAGAAATAATTCGTTTGTTTTTACATGATGTCCTAATCCCATGTGTTATCCAAGAATTACTTTTCCGTGAAATATTTAATTTCATCTTTTGAAGAGAAAAACAAGTTTTAAAAAGAAATGAAAGCGTTGAAAAAAAAAGTATTTATCGTTTGCATCAACATTATTGTAAACCGCGTCCCATGAGTCTTGTAGCAAGTAATTGATGAATAATGTTTTTTACTTTTAGTAAATAATTACTCATACGTGTATTATTTATGTCAGTGTTCGCATTTCTTATAATGGTAAGAATTTGTGCATCGTGATCACTGTATTCTAAATCTTTTGTTAATTTCATATCGAGTAGTGGTTTTGTTAATTATTATTTGATCGATTGCCTTCTTTGAATTTAGTGTGATCCGTGTAAGTACATTTATTATATCTAAACTGAAGGAATGAACTAAATTGAGAAACTGATCTTTCACGCAAGATTCGACCAAAAAATCAATGTTAAAACCGCCACATACAACAATGGATTGAAAAGACCGATTGGTGACTTTATTTAGTGCTATCTCCAGTTTTTTAAGAACATAATATAATTTACTGCTCTCTTTGTCGGAGGACTGTAGATGCAAAGTAATATATTTTTTAGCGTAAGACAGATATTTCAAACACATTTTCAACGGAATACACATTTAATTCCGTCAGAGAGCGGTAGGCCGTTTCGTTTCCATGTGAACATTGCTTGGAACTTTTGTGGTTCAGTGTAATGCCATTTCTTTTGCACGTTAGGTTTTAATAAGAATAAGTTGTTACTCACATTCATTTGAAAATCGGTATTTGCACGTTTAAGAATGTAAATATTTAAAATACGTCAATACGGATGCAAATTAAATGAAATACGAAGGTTGCCTTTTATGTTTCGGGGTTTGGCAACCTTGGTGTTGCAATCTGGCAACTGACAGCTCTATCGTAAAGTTGGATATTTTGAGGTTATACGTACTCAGAACGTTTTGACATACGAGCGCTATTTGTGTTGTTTACAGTAACTTAAAAGATTCAATCTTGTCCCAAATTGGAATTAAATCGTGAACATTTTCGTGCGCATTATTTTTACAACTTTCGACGTGGATTAACTCAGCACACAGCGCATGAACTTACTTCAATTTTTGGCGATGAAGCTCCATCAAGGACCAGTGTTTATCGATGTGTATGGTGAATTCAATCGTGGTCGTAGTTCACTCCAAGAAAAATTTCGCGAAGGTCGTCCAAAACTCAGTTCTGTTCCGAAAACCATTGATGCTGTGCGTGAACTGATATGGCAAGATCGTCATTGTGCACCTATCGTGAGATTGAGACAACCTTAGGCATTAGTGGACCAGCAACATTCAATATTGCATGAACATTTGTAAACAAATTTGTTCGCGTTGGATCCCACACAATTGTCAATCGCTCAAAAAGAGGCTCGTGTCGATTTGGTCAAAAGAAATGCTCAAAAAAGTGCGATCGCGGTGCTTCGAAACACGTCTGTGACATCGTGACAGGTGATGAGTCGTGGGTTTACGCGTATGGCCCGAAAGTAAACAGCAATCGACTGAATGAGTGTTTCAAGATTGAGCAAAATCAACAAAAAGTTGTTCGCGCACGAAGCACTTCAAACAGATGGTCGCTGTTTTTTTGTGTTGTTTTTTTCGAAAAAACTGGACATGTTGCAACCGTACCACTAGAACAACGCAAGAACAGTTAATTTTGAGTGGTTACACAAGATTTGTTTTGGCCAGCTGTCTTAGAAATCAGGAAAACCAACCGCCGAAGACGGACTCACTCTTCACCACGGACAATGCGAGCTCTTCACACATCGCTCAAACAACTGCATTTTTGAGCAACCAAAACATCGATGTGATGAGTCATCCGCCGTATAGTCCTGGCTTGGGCACCGAATGACCTCTTTTTTATTCTCTCGTACGAAAACAAAACTGAGAAGTCAACGTTTTTCGACACACTGAAGAAGCAGTTGCTGCTGTGACTAGTTGAAATGAGAAATAAATTCAAATAACAAATAAAAATAGTTATTAAAAGATTTATGAACAAGTTACAATAAATTGCTAATGTTAAAACTCCGCAACTTTTCTTTCAGTTACCCTGTTACCGCGAAAATTTAAAGCCAGCGTGATGCAAGCTGTCGACTTCCGTCCCGTGACAATTACCGTCACTGCTGACGCCAAATTTAAACCGGTCGTGGCGACCGTGTGCCTACCAGTAGCGAGATCGTCTGCCCTTACTCTCCGACATCTCGCCACACTCCTACCACTCTTGTACATACCCGTACAAGCTCCCGATGGAAACTGAATGAGAGCACGGCCGCAGATGGCGCCGCGTTAAATGCTTTGCGTAGGCTGCCCCCCCACCACTTGTCCATAATAGGCTCGCTTGCTGTCGGCAGCGAGGCTCGCTGGCCAGCCATCTTGTTTTACGCCCCCACACACCAAGATTCTCAGGTTGGCTCGCCTGCTGTCGTAACGAGGGCTCGCTGGCTAGCATCCACGGAAGTTTACAGCCTAAGGTTATTTTTGGTCTGCAGGCTCTACTGAGTCCAACCGTCAGAGCGCAAACTCCCGGAAGTTCAGGCTCAAACCCTTTCCTCCCCCGCAGGCGCAACTTTCACCGACCTAACGGTCTGGCGCCTCGTTAACGACGCACACTGCATTCAGAATCATGTTTTGAAGATACCTCAATCAGAGTGGCAAAAAGTGCTTCGACCAATTAGTTCAAACGCATGCAAAAGTGTATAGATCTTCATGGGGAATATTTTGAAAAACAATAAAATGCTTTCGATGATTAATATTTGTTTTGTTCTCTAAGCCTGGAATATAAAAAGCAACACACGTACGCCGCGCGGTGATTCACTTGTCTCATTCAAAGTCACCCTCAGTGGCTCGCCAAATTGGCCGTACATTATGTAAGAGAATACAAAATGGCATAGGAAAATTATTTATTGCAGAATAGTGAAGTACAAAATAAATATAGATATTAATGTAAACCTTCACTCATTAATTACAAAAATATCTTGTAATAACTGAATAAATAATAAATGAAAAATAAACTCCTAATGCAATAAACTCCATATGCAATTCAGCGCAAAAATGAACGTACACTGGCAATTTGTCTTCACGAAAAATAATCAGTCAAAATTTTGTGGAACGACCTTAAGCACAATCTCCATCTTGCTGCCATTGATCTTACAAACTTCCTTGTAAATTCAGGCCCGATTTTCTTCCATTCTTCAGAGAGGACCCTCTTGAGCTCTTTTTTATTCGAAACTTTATGCTTCTGCACGTTTTTCCAATTACCACCAAATGTTCTCAATGGGATTGCGATCAGATGATTGTGGCAGCGGTTCAAGGCGCTTTGGTACATTATTTAACAACCATAACTTCACAATATGCGCTGTATGTATGAACGCGTTGTCCTGCTGAAAGTAATATGTCGGCCCCAGTGCAAGATTAGCTGCACTTTGTTCGACATTACTTTCTAAAATTAATAAATATCCATATTTGTCAACTGTAGAATCAATAAAATGGAGTTTCCTGACACCTGACGCAGATATATAGCCCCATCCATTTCGAAGCCACTGCGTGCTTTGGCACGCAAATTTTTATCTTCTAAGACTGCGTTTACCTTCCTCAACACGTTAGCCTGCCCATCTGATTCAAATATCTTAAATTTACTTTCGTTGCTGAAAATCACTGTTTATCAATACCCCGAAGGATGGTTTCTGTAATATTTCGCGAACTGCAGTATAGTATGCAGATTTGCCTTACCAATCCAAGGCTTCTCCGCTACTCTCCCGTTGTAACCTGCGTTTCGGAGTGCCTTTCGGACAGTTCTCCGCCAACAATAGTGTTGAAACCACCCATGGAGTAGTTTTAATGGCGAGGATTCCTCCTGATATTATCGACAATATTTCTTTTATCTCGTTCTTCAGTATCGGATTCTGGCCTCAGCCTATTTTATTAATTAATCTGACAAAGTACTTGAATTGGTCTACCATACTTTGAATAGTTGAATGAGGTCTTCCCATTATCATCGCAATACCTTGTGGTCATCTCCTCATGGCTAAATTCACAATAAGTCTTCGTTCTCCCATCGTTGTTTCCATTTTCGGGGCCAATTTCAATTCGATGTTGCTCTCCGTAAATCTGACAATTAACTAATATCATAGTCACAACTTTGTAGCCAAAAAATCATTTAACGGGTACGTTTCAAAGTGCGCTTGTAATTATGTACGTCCACTTCTATGCAACGTTAATTTACAGATATCACACAAAATATTTAATTTTACACCTAATAAAACAATTTTCTGCGTTCAAATGGCACTAGTCCTTCCAGGAAACCTCAAATATCAAAATTACACATTTTATTTCCAGAAACATTCATATGAGAAGACGTACGGTATAATTTAAGGTGTACATTCAAATTTGAGAGCCATACTGTACATACTAGATCTATTGACGTTGGTTTAATTCCCAGCAGACTCACTAAGATGGCAGCGCTAAAACACGCAAAAACACATATTTGGAAATTCCTTCGAATCTTCTGGCCGGATCCGAACACAAATTATCAGTTCCCCACCAGGAGACGCGTCGAATGACACTTCGCACGTTTTGATTGGTGCACGGGAAGTAGTCTAACCGCGAGTGACGGATCCGCACAATCACAAATACTGTATACAGATTTTTTTCTCAAAATACAGAAAAAAGTAACTCTTGTATAACATAAATTCGAAGATCCGCGAAATGAAATGTCTAAATATATATGTTTTTAATGTGTCAATACAATGTGTAACAATTCATACAATTTCTTCTGTAATCTACTAAATGTTTGGGAGCTATAAGATGTATTTCTCCAGAATATTATGCCATATCTCAACCAGGAATGAACATTTGCGAAATATACACAAAGAGCAGTATGAAGGCTGACTGAATTTGAAAGAATTCTAAACTTATAGCATAATGAATTTCATTTTGTGTTCAATTCATTTAAATGGACATTCTGTTTGAGGTTTGACTGAATGGAGAGATCCAAAAATTTAGTTACCTTAACAAGAGACAATAGCATATCTTTTATTTTCAATAGATTACAGAATTGTTAATTGTGCATTGAAGTTACTATTCATTCGTTTTCCCTTAGTTTACTATTTATTTGTTATTATAGAACCAATTTGAAAATCTGATAATCTCATGAAAGATTCTTCAAAATAAATATTAAACACAAACATAAAAGTAGTAATTCTAAAAATGAAGTATGTGGATGCAAATAAAAATACCATAACTAATACGAAGGTGGAGAACTGAAGATGAAATTACTCATAACCACAATTATTATCAATGCAAATGTCGTTAATAAATAAAATTGTCAACAATTTATACTGAATAATTTAAAAAAAAATAAATGACACTTAAAAGGCAAGATCAAAATGTCTTTAACAAAATATATGCACCATCAGACGCTGCAAATGTTGGTAACAAAATTTAATTGGTTGCATTATATCTGTTGTACTCAATTTTCTAAAGAACCAAAAATAAACTGAAAATAAATGGCTTAAGAGAAATAGAACAAAGAATTAGAAAATGATATGAGTTTTTCTGAAATATATGAAAGGTAAAGGAAGAAAATACCATGAGAAATATGCATATACAAACCTTCATGAGAGAAAAGCACTCATTTCTCAATTTGTTATTCTGGCTGAAACGTATTAATGCTCCCAGAGATGAGGCAATCATGTGGCTCCATGCCTTACCTCTTTCATAGCTCTGTAATAGAAAAAAATTTTAAAATTATTATTTAATTTTGAATGTACAGAATCATCTTTTTTCCATAAAACTTAATTTATTAATGAATTTCAACATTCAGAATGAAATTTTATCCAATTGCAGAATTATATTTTTAAACACATTATATAAAATTGATATATTGATTCTTTCTTTGTTTCAAAAAGTCAATATATAGGTATCCTATGTCCAACTCACAGTAACTACAGATGTTGTCAGATGAAGGGCCTCCGTGAGGGTGGAGGCCAACTGAGAGCTGTGTTGTGCAAGGAGGAGTCCTAAATGCTGCTCATCTCTGATCATGAACAATAGAAAGTAATCAACCTCGGGCCTCCCTTCGTCCACGCAGTAACATACATCACTCAGCTCTGGGGCACAAGGCCCTGGACGCAGGACCAGTTGATCATTCAAGGCAGCTGGAAGTGAGACAGCTCTGTGCCATTCAGCATTGTCAACTAAAAGAGGCACTCCTTCTTCCGAGAAAAAAAACACATGTAGGTGATGGTTTCTTCCTACACATAAAAAATGCCTCTATTAATGGGGTAGGGACAGTGACTGTAACATGGGGGGGGGTAACATTAGCGAGGCAAGGGGTTGTCGGCGGGTGCGTGGGACGGGACGAGGGGGAATCTCTGAGTGGGTAATGTGGGAGTGTTTAAAAAGTCTAGCAAGACCGGGGCGAGAACCAAGAAACTGTGGGTTTGCTAGCGCTATACAACGGCGGCATGGTCTCTGAAAAGTAAGGGTCGAACGCTTTCAAACCCCACACTTCCCTGGTTCGCACCCCAATCTCGGAAGGCTTTTACCCCCCCCCCTCCCAACTGCCGTCAATCACCCTCGCCCCCGCCCCGACTCGCGTCTCCACTCCAGCGCCGACTCCCCCCACTCGTCACCCCAAACCACCACCGCCACCTCTTTGGCCCGGTCACAGTTTCCCTAACGTCACGGCAATGCACCGCTCTCACCCCCACACTCTCCCGCTCCATGCCCCTTCACACCCCACCAGCAAGTTCTCTCACCCCCGGCAACGCGGTCCACCCACGCCAATGAAGTGGCACAACATGACGTGACAACACCCTAACGTTGCGGGCTGTTCCCCACCCCAACCTCCGGGTCTGGAACGGAAAAGGTGTCATGGCGACATCACGACATCATAGACTACTTCCGTTCCAGAAAAGGGCACATCTCCCACTTTCAGTTATGTGATTGTTTAGTTTTAAATATCTTCAATGGATTTTACGTAAAATTGTTAAAATCCGTAAAAAGCTAATAAAAATTGCTAATATATTCAAATGAAGTTAAAATCATCTGGGGCCGTTCAACAAATACATGTTAATAAAATTGCAATTTTTGACACCTTCTCTCTCTCCCCCTTCCTTTTCCATACAATGTCGTTACAAAATTGTTCTACCGCCTCAGGATTAAGTATACATCAACGCCGATGAGACTATGTTGGCCATGAAGTAGTCGTATCATCGTTACGTACCGAGGGTTTCGACTCGCCCCCTCTCCCTCCGCTCAACTCTGAGTTGCTGCATGTTCTACAAGAAAGTATGTCCATTCACCGCAAAAAATGAACAGAATATACAATGTCACCCGATGTAAATGTAAAAATGGTGGAAAAGATTTCATCTTGTACTACGTGCACATATATTGCCTGATAAAAAAGTGATGAACCTAGGAGTGTTGGAAGTGAATGAAACTCTAAATGCTGAAAGACCATATGACTACTGAACTTCAGTAGGGTGTCGCACCTCCTCTGGCTGCAATGTATGCCGTTAAGAGGTTCGGAATAATGTCAAACAGCCTTTGGATCTTCTCTTGGCACAACTTGTTTTTACTTTCTCGCAATTACTAACGTAGGAAGAGAAAGTATTGAAATCGTGCGCCGGAAAACGGCGAATTTTCGACACAAAATTGCCGGGCCCTGGTAAGGAAAAAGTGGATAAATCCAGTTGCTAAATATAGAAAAAAAGTCCTCTACCACGTGGTGTAACTAGATTCCAGGTTTTGTGGCTCCATTCTTGTAAAATTAGCACTTCAAAAAATGTTATGTACACTTTTTTAAAACAGATTTCATTTAACAAAGAAACATCAACATTGTACTAATTTTGCAATGTTAATTTTGTGTCGTTTGCAATTTTTGTAAAGCAGAGAGGTTGTCGAAAATACGACGAGTACCACATTCGTGGTCGTTCTTTGCTACATACGACGGGGAAACATTATGACAAAATTTGGAGCCGTCATTATGAAAATTATGGTTGAAAATTGTTCCATAATTGCCTGTTTCGCGCAAAATTACAAAAAAATTACTATTTTTTATGAACAGATTTCACTAGGAAAATATTTGTCTTCTTTAGTAGTTGTAAGATGATGCGGAAAAAATGTGAACTTTTGCAATTTTCAAAAAGTCGTGGATTTCAATGAGAATGAGCTTCTAGCCAATTCCTTAAGAGCTTTTCACGCTATCCAAGGACAAAGTTTAATCCAAAATTTTGGACACATTATTGAGAAAATTTTCAAAATGAACGCCTGAACGGTTTAGGGGCTAGCGTTGACTGCAGACAGACATACGTTTTGTTCTAGGCTATCCGAGACGAGCCGCGTCAGACATGGTGGCTTATGTTTTGGCCAGCGTATTGTGGTCTTCTGCAGAACGTACTGCTGAAGGTACGCTGGCTGTGACATCAGTCAGATCGATCAGGGAATATCGATTTTGATGAACATCCTGCTTACGGTTTAGCCGCTGGTGTTGTTCACTAGCTGACAGATGCACAAACATGTGTTGTCGTCAATTAATTTTTCCGTATCAGGAACCCTTTGAACTTTGATTCCGATTACACATCTGTTAGAAGTAATTTACAACATTATGGGGGAAAATATCCTTTTTTTTCGTTATGAGGGCCCGGCAACACGAGTTTCTCTGTCGATGTCTTTTCCGCAACAGTACGCTACTTACTTAGTAAATAAAATGACCTTATGGGCAGTGAAAGAGGTATGAAAGTGAAAAGGTACAACAGAACAAATGGAACTATAAAAAGCAAATTTTAGAACATTTTTAAAGAAACAAAATTCAAATTCCACAACATATCAGTAAAATATACAAAAGCTAAGGCCTAATCCCTAAACATCCCTGATGAGGATTATATAGCTTGGATTGGTAGGCCAATGTATCATTTTTGTACTAATTGTTACTTGGGAAATTATAACTCATCCAATGATTTTGGAGTATAATGAAGACATTAAAACAAAGAGAGACAAGCATCACCTATGAAATACCTATAATAATGATTATCTGTAATTTTGTTTTTTAATAAATATTGTCAATTACCTGTAATTTGAAGAAAATAATTATGAAAACTGATAAATTACCATGTATTATAAATAAATGCTTTGTATGCCTAGTTCAGTTCATTGAGTACATAAAAAAATAATTAGAGATACATTTTTGAACCCAAAAATTTTGAAAGCAATTGATAGAGTTGAACTTATTCAGAGTTACACTTATCCTGAGAATGTTTTGGTACTCTAAACAAGAATACCCCAGCAGCCGGATTGCTACTCAAGTGGGAGATACCTTACTGGAGAAGATTGACAAATGATAAAAGTGCCAATATGATGAAACTGTAAACCTCGTAAACTAAAAGGATGGACACTTCGCATCTGTCATTTATGTCTGAAAGAGTCTACATGTTTTTCAGGAGAAAATTCAATGTACAATAATTTATAATATTACCATGACTTTCAGCATACATCATACTGGTGTTTCCCAGAACATGAAAATCTACATAGTACACAAAAATTATCTCTCAAATAGATAAATGGGCATAATTGAAATAAATGTTACATAAAAATATTACCACTAGATTAGGTCAAAAGGGGCTGACCAAATCATGAGCCATGAAAAAAAAATGTCAAATTGGCCAATTTTACAACACAAAGTCAGTTAAAACGAAAATTGTTAATTGACTATCAGAAGAACTGATAAGAAAAATTTCTATAATTTTATAAAATGATATTTAAATCCTCTTCTATATTAACTCACTCTTAAAAGAAGAGGTGTGACAACAGAAATGTTAGAGCTTGGTTTTACAAGCATAGGTAGTCTAAATAAAATGTCTTCACTGCAGGTGTGAAGTGAAGTCTTTCTTAGAAACGAAATCAAAAGTTAAAGAAAAATTAAGACTCATACTTCATTTACATTGTCACTAATTTTTTCTTTTCCAGTTTTTCTGTTAAATAACAAATCAGAATAATGATTTCCTAGAATCCATAAAAGATTAATAATAAAATAAGAATTTACCAATGTCTCCACCTAAAGAAGCACCGTATATGATAGAAAAACTGGAGCATTGAGAGGTACTCTGCTGTAGGTTCACTTGCTTACACTGCACAACAGGTGCACAGTGAAAACCAATACTGCCATATGTTCTGTTGAAAAACACAAATTAACACAACTTACCCTTTTATTTCATATGCAACTACGTTACAAATCATAAGAATATTAGATATTCTACACAGGAGAAGTTTAAAATATATTTTTGATAACATTGTTTTAATGAGATGACATACCTACAATACATGGTAATATTATGAATCCAATTCCTTTCATGAGGAAGTCCCTGGATTCCTGATCTGTAGTAACAAATCACAATCTGTCACTTACCTCATGCTTCATTCGCTTAGCTCCAAGTATTATAAACGGTATAAATACCTCTCATAGAATAAATCATTAATTCTAGAAACAACTGTCAAATATGGCATCATCAATTGACTTTTCTTCAAAAAAGAAACAAGATAATTGTGAAGATTCTTACATAAACTCATAGGAAAATTCACCTGTACATAAAATTATTGTATAAGGTTTTATAAACACAAATGCTAAAAATTAATTTATTTAAACAAAGATTGGTTCCACTTCACAAATTTAATACCCTATTATCAATTTTAAACATTTTTAATATATATATATAACACAAGAGGTTTCTGCATTTCAATTCAGCTTTTGAGAATCTATGTCAATTAAACTTTAAACAAAACTTACACATATAGAAATTGAAACTGATGGATTTGGTTCTTTATTTTCATGTTTTAACTCTTCTTCCACAGTTCTGAATTTCCAACCCACATCAGAACAATATTGAAAACTATAAAACTTGCATGTGTTGCCAAAAACTTGACAAGCCAACAAACAAGGACCCTTTGCCTAAAAATTGCCGAAATTAATAACTCACCATGAAAATCCACATCATTAAAAACAGAAAGTTTGTATAATTACCAACATTTAATTGCAACTTGTTAATGATATTAACATCATTTCTCAACACTTTAATGAGACAGCGAACATCAAGAAGTTGGTCATATTGTCCTCTGTAGAAAACTGTAAACAATGTCTAAGGTAAATGCAACTTTGGTACAAATTAACCAAAAATGTGATGAATACCAAAAATATTTGTAAAGTACAAACTCAAGAAAGCAATAAATTACAGTTGTTAGTTTTTCCACAAGTTTACAAATAAAGTAATTTATGAAGTTAAAGTTAAGATTTAGACTACAGATATTTATTTCACATAACTCTATAAACTGAATTGGGTAAACACACACCCTCTTATAACATAATTTATAAATTTTCATAATTAATTACACCAAATTACATGTAACTGTCAAAATTTATTATGAAAAGGTTACTTATGGGAATAAAGATCTATTTTTCTGCTTGTTACCAATAAATGCATTTGATAAATGTATCAGAAAAAAATACCTGTCACTTCTGAACCTTTATGTCCATTCTTGTCAGTTACAAATAACACTCCGATTTCAGGACAAGTGTGATTTTCACGAACATCTTTTACACTTCTGTGAACTGATAAAATATACTGCAAAACCTTTGAAAAGACCAATATGCTCGCTGTGACAAATCTGCTAGTTAAATTTGGAGTTAAAAATAGAAGGGATTACACAAGAATTATGCGCAGAAATGCGTTGATGGATTGATTAATATATTAATGAAGAAAAAAATACTGTAACATTTAGCCAAATGTAAATAATTCTTAAGAAATTAAATCATTTTCTTAACATGCAGTTTTTTCTATACACATAAGGCAGAAAGAATTTAAAATTTCTTTGCAATAATTTACTGAAATAATTCTGCCTCAGGTATGAGTAATTCTTAATTTTTTTTCCAATGAATTATAATATCATATTTCTTTAATATGCAAATATTTATTATAATAATTATTTTTATATTATATACTGTAAAAATGTGTGTTCAAATAGTATGTAGCCTTCTGCAATTTCATACCGATGTGTGAAACATATTAATCATAATGACATTAGTGGGTATGTTACTTGTATCAAGAAATACTAATATAATTGTAGATTGGCTGAGCACAGAGAAGAAAAACGTTTTCAAAGGCAATGAGAAGAAATTTACAAGAATTTTTCGTTTAGTTTTTCTTGATCTATTTGGTAAATCCTGAGATAATTTGTTTCTTAACATTAAAGGTGGCTTTTCTCTTTTCTCACTTTTTTCTCACACTGGCGTGAAATTAGGAAATGAAACAACCGTGATTCAAATCATCTGCTTATAATCCAAGTGAGTTGCATAAAAAAGTAATTGAGAATGAATAGTACAAACCTTCACCAATATTTTGTAACATTCTATGACAGGCATTCTACAATGGTTCATGGAACAGGATTTTCTTTCTTATTTTCAATATGCAATTTTCCTCACATATGTTTGTGACTGACAATCTCATTTGCCAAAGGAACATTACGGTACATTACATTTATGACGTCCGTTATTCAGCAGAATAAGGAGTGGTAAGGTGTATAAGACTAAATGTCCCGGAAAATATTTGCATGAAAATTCAATAGAGCGCAGCACTATCAAAGGGAATGTACATCACCAATAGAGATGTCCAGAACAAGTGACCTTTAGTAGTTCAGAGGGCAGCACCGTCGTCTCTGGGAGGCAAGCGGCAAGCTGCTATACTAAAAGTCACATATTCTGGTCATCTCTCTAGCATCTGATTTGACTTGTAAAAAGCATTTGTCTCGTTTTAACAATAGAATTAAGGCAATTGATCCCTCCCTCCCTCAAAAAAATAACTAATCTTTGAATTTGCATTTTGTATATCCAGGAAAAATTTTTAAAAATGTAGATGACGCGATGGCTACAAGCTTCCCGAATCCAACTCTCTGACAACCGTCCAAATTGGATGAATATGGTCAAAATTATTCCTTTAAATGTTTTTCTTGTATGTAACGATCAGTAAAAAACTGACGCTAGTCTCAATTTTGACGAACTCTCTGTACCTTTGAAAATTGCAACAAAATAATATTGCAAAAGTAGAATAATGAAGATAGAGATTTTTGTCTTAAATGAAATCGGATTTTTAAAAAAGTTCATGTACAATTTGTTCACGTTTAGTTTTCGCGCTACTTCTGCTTGGATGTGAATGTAATTTATTAAAAAAATGTTCGCCATAACTGTTCAAAATTTGTGCGTTATTTTTTTCCACAGAGCAAAACACAAAAAATGGCGCAGGTGTCACTGTAGTTGAACTCTTCCAATTTGTAAAGATAGCATAAGTTAGAAATAATGGGGCAATGTATGTGAATTTTGTAACATCACTAGTTATTTTGTTGATGGTATTGTGAGATTATCTTGATGCATAGGTAAGAGATATTCTGATCGACGCATTAAACATTAGAGGCTCTAAAATGTTATTGAAAATAAATGTTTGCAAAAATAATTTACGTAACTGACTTTTTACTTTCTCTCTAACGCAGTAGACAGAAAGTATTGTTATGCTGTGGGGTGAAACGGCGAATATTTGATAGAAAAAAATTGCCGGGCCCTTGTAACGAAAAAGCAGATACATCTTTACCCTATATTTTATAGTAAAATACGTCCTTTAACACGTTTTGTAGTCAGAATCCATGTATATTTTGTGGGTCATTGATACTGGAAAATCGATTGATAATAAAACTTCTGATCGCCATAATCGTCTCCCCCTACGTTTTTCTGTTTTTTTATTTACTAAATAAATCTAAATCTAAATCTGTGGTTAACGCTAGAGCCAAAAACAGGGGTGTCCAATTTGCAAGACTTCAAGGGTCACAACTTAAACTTTTAATATGGTTGCAGGTCATATTTTCATTACTCGGGCGATCCACACCTGACTTCTCAGAATTGTTAAGCTCTGCAGTCTGCCCCGGCTGCTATGAAACGGGGGGAGGGGGTGATGGGACCATGCGTGATCCAAGCATAACGTTGGGAAACACGATGGGATCATTTTGAATTCCTAAATTTACTAGAAAAAAATTATTCAATCTGAACTTAACCTATTTTTACATTAAGGGGGAGTTTACCCCGACATACGCCGTATTTCGAGAAGAACAACTAACATACAGAAGAGAGAAATGTATTTCATATGCCTTCAAAGTAGTGGCAATTCAAATAAACCAACGAACAAAAGCATCTTTAATAACATATTCTGTAATGAACTCCGCACTGAACATAATGCCAAGATCATAGGTCATAGACTAATTGCTTATAGTCGAGTACAAAATCATTTATTTTGTTATAGAATTAGTACATATATAGTAGAAAAATATAGACTAGTTGATTTTGAATTTCTGCGAATGGGGAGGGCAATGTGGGTGATCTGGGCTGTCCGGGTGACGCCGCGTCGAAGGCTGAGTTGCCGACGTTTCGACCTGTCGTGGTCTTCCTCAGGGCTGGTATGCATATCACCCACATGACTCTCGTCGCGGAAGCCTACGACTTCACGGGGAGGGCAATGGCGGACACTTCTGTTTTCAACCGTTCGCAATTTTTCGTGTTTGTAGACTGTAAAACCTCAGTTGCGGGACTAGATAAAGCTTTGAAATTATTACATGTAAAAGTTCACTATGATGTTAATCCGAATTATTAATATCAACTTTGAAATTTGACTTAAAATGTATTTTAAAAAATCGTGAAATGTACGTGAAAAGTGTTTCATTGGCACATGTTTTTAATTGTTTATAGTTGAGTACAATTTTTTTTCGAACAAAATTAGTACATAATTAGTAGATAATGTTAGGCTAGTTGATTTTGAATTTATGAGAAATGGGAGTGCCAGCTTGACGTCAAGCTAGTACCCCCTCTTTTGGGTGTGTTTTTTAATTGTTTTTAGTTAAGTACAATTTTTTATTGCGGTACAAAATTAGAATATAATTAGTACAAAATTATAGGCTATGCACCGCCTTAATTCTGTTCTGTAATCGATCTTGAAATGTGCGAACGTCTTCAGCAAATACCAAGGTTGCAAGCTTTCGACTGTGACTGAGGTTGGTACACTAGTTCCGCAGTCTAGCACGCGCTGTCTCTCAGCGTTTCAAGTAAGAAGCTGCTCAACGCCCGAACTGAATTAACAGCTAGAAGACATTTTCAACTCGAATTTCTCAGTGCAATAGGCCTCCCCCTCCCAGTGACGATTTCGCGATCGCTTATTAATAATACTATAAATGATAATCTTAGAATATAGATCAGGTGGCTCAAAATCGTAAGCGGTTATTTTTTCCTACATTTCGACGTTCAGTACAAGTTTTTTTTTGTTACATCATTGTTTATTTCTTCTGCACTATTTATTCATTTTATTTTTCTCTGGGTCATCTATTTTTTGGTGGGGAACGTGCCCTCCTCGATCAGACACCAGCATTACATCCACAACATAAAACAGCTTGAATTGCATCAAGCTGGAATTGTTTAATAAAAAGTTTACGTTTTTCTTGTTTTTAGAGAAATTTAAAAACATTTAAGAGTATTATTAGTCTTGTATATTATCGGTGTTATGTTTTAGTTCTCAATTACGCTCCTTATTTGAATCGAATTTATTCAGAACCCGTCTAACGGCAAATTCGATTATTATCGTGAAAGCTGAGAAAAAATATCTTCATTTTTTGGAATTCAAAATTATTTTTTTTTTTTTTATATTAAACGAGTGATAAATGGATTATTTTTCAAATATACTCACTAAACCCCGATTGTGCTATCCTCTTGAGCAATATCGACGCTATGCGCGTTTTGGGATTTTGGGTTTGATGGGTTTCTGAAAAAACGAATTCAATTATAATATTTTCCCGTTCTAAGGGTAACAGATAAATGCCGGATAAGCTCGGAAGTGCTGATCGGTACATTCAGATAGTTTGTTTATATTCAGATATTTTGGAGGAATGTTCATATTACGATTATGTAGAATAGGCAGGATATTGCAGCTCATGCTGGCGATTCTAATTTTATTCGTTTTATATGATTTTTCGCAATATTGTTAATTAAGTAGATAAGTTATGTTGATATGCTGCACGAAAAAAAACGGCGAAATTGTGGGTCGAAAATCTTTGTTTACTAGTACGGAAAAAGTTGGATATATTCCGAGTTGCCTATATTTTAGAAAACAATCCTCTAACCTTGTGTAGCAGGGATCTGATTAGGTTGGTGGGTCCTTGAAACGAAGAATTGATGACGGCAAAATGTCTGTTCGGTCTATGAACCCAAACGCTAACGGTTAAACCAATTAACTGATTTTCTCAAAATTGATATTCCCCATCGAACCTGGTGATGGTACGGCCCTGGATTTCAAACCGATATTTCAATAAGTGCTACTTTTCATTAATGCCCTAGGTCCTAAATTAATAAAGTCGGGCTCCATCGGCTTTGATTATATTTTTTTTTGTTAAATAGTGTTGAAGAACGGTTTAGAGTTTTATTTATGGTTGTAAGTTTATGTTCATTTAAAGACCGCTTTTTTTTTTATTGCAAAGTCAAGTCCTTGTGTAAGAAAAAAAGTTTAATAGAAACAGGGTCGTGGGCAGGGACCAGAAATGTCGGTGGCTCCCCATTTGTTTTAGCCTGGTGATACCACACAAACTCTTTAGAATTATTGTGATGAATCTATATCTCGGTACAACACATTTTAGAGTTTTGGTATACCATCTAAGTTGGATGTTTATTTAAATTATTTATATGAATAACCTAGGATATTTTGTTTCTTAGCTGGACTGATATTTAGATTGTTGTAGACGTAGGAGCTTGTTATTGTGATGGTCTATGAAAATTATGATTCCTATTTTCTCTGTTTACATTAGTTGTAGTTCTAGAACAATTTTTTTTCAGTTGCCTGCAATGCCTGTCTCCAGTATTTTATTATTTATTAATCTTCCTTTGTTGTGATATTAAATTATCAATATTAGGTCTCTGGAAAAAGAAATGAATAGACTATACCTTACTATATGGCATGTCATTAATTTTTCACTAGAAAGATACCTGACCCATGGTTTGGGACAAAGCAGATCCATTCTTTCTTTTACGTAGGGTTTCTGATTATAACTATGCATCGATATTTTGCGCATTGTAAAAGGCTATATCATATCTATGTGTATTGCTTTGGTTAGATATTTATGATCAATGGTGAGCTAACAACCAATGCCATAAGATCAAGCTTCAAAAAGAAGATTTCACATCTACTGAGATCAATGCTTCTAGATCTAAATACTCGATTACATTCTTTTGTATCTAAGATTTATTTGCTTTAAGAAAAAAAAGATTGCCCATTGTAGACGGTTAATTTATTTTTTATGGAAATCGTAGTTTGAGCACTTATGATTTGTTGTTTATATCGATGAAATTTATTTATCTCTCAGATTATTTTTTCTAGATTTTGAGAAAAGAAAGAATGAGATGGTTGTTAATTTTATACTATGTCTTTTCATTTTTTGAACATCGATATATCATAAATGAATGCTACTTCAGAGAGAACTCATGGTGTTTAATACAGATAATATCAGACATCAGAGGCAAGTACACTCCTCCTATTCTGCTTGTCTACATGATCTTTGAACGTCTCCCCCCCTGTTTTTTCTGTTTAGGTGGCCTTGCTCAATAGCCAAAAACATTGTTTCTAAACACTCATTATTAAGACATATCTTGTGCCTAAATCACAAACTATCAGAGCCATTTGCATTGTACCTGAAGAATTCTATCTGTGAGAGTGTCCAAGTAGTGTTGAATTCCAGTAAGTGATATCATGAAACCGTTCCTACCTATCAGCTATATTATTTTAATACAAGTTCAGTTTTATTTATTTATAGTTAAATTACATTTGTTACATATGTATGAAAACTAATAATGCCTGATGTTCTTGTCTCAAATACTTATTATTATATGGTGATCATTTACAACACTACAGCATATGAAAGCCTTCATGGGACAGGCGATGTTAAATTACAGGTCATTATAATATTAAAAAAATAACAGAAGGTCAACATAATTGAATTAAACTATAAAGTTTTACTATAAAATATTTTTTTAATATTTATAATTATACGTTTTTGTGAAAAATTATTGTAGTCCCTAAACAGCCAGGATCCTAGTATGTTTTTATCTTATAAGTTTATCACGTCTGATGCTCTACTGTAGGCGATATGGTGTAAGCATTGGCGTTCTGTGTGCTGCGTCTCGAAAGTGTGAACCGTCGTGGAATTTTAGATAAAGCCATAGGGAAATTTTTATTGAATTATTGAGATTAACACAGTGCACACAGTAAATGTAAAATGTCAGGTCATCAATAATGGCTCTGACAATCATAGATGTGCCACAGGGGTTAACGGGGTCATGGCTCCCCTGAAGTCTGAAAAGGGTCTCCGCAGCCCTACATAAAAAAAACTGTAAATGTGTCAATTTCTGCTTCCTTTTAAAGCTGACCATTTGGCATGATATATTTAAGAAGAGGCTCTCCAAACCAACTGACAACCTGTAAATGGTTCAATATAAACCCGTTGTAATTACATACTATGGTTGTAGTGAAATATATTCATTGAACACAAAAGTTTGATGAAAATGGAGGTCCGAGGGACCAAATGTCACCCACATCTTGTTTTAGACTACGCACCCTTTGCTGACAATAAATAAGAAGACAGTGGGCACGGGTTCGATGGCAGCGGGCGATCACAGCGGCTTAGCACGCATTGTGCTCATTGGTCCACTTAAATGTGAAAATGCAGACTCGCGGAGAGTCCCATATGTACCCATCTAGCCTGTTCGGAAGCATCTTTAAAAATTCTGTTATTCTTAAATTTTGACATAGTGAGGTCTTGGCAAACGATGTATGTACACATTGTTATGGTTTTTTACAGTTCAACGTTATTACATTATTAAACGTATAAATATCGTTATAATATGTTGTACTAAAACTGTCTTCAGTAGAAAATTGAAATTTGTTGAATGACCTTGAAAATAATGGGGGGGAGGAGGGACTCCGCCTCCCTGCCAAGTACGCCCGTGAGTGCAAGAGACCTCTAATCCCTCTGACACTCCTTTTACAACCCTCTTGGGCGTGGGCCATCGTGAATACGCCCCCTAGCGCTGTCAGGTCTTCGGGCTTTTATGAAATGAGAAACAAAGAAATAACTGCTACCTAGGAGAATACGGCCATGAACGTTTCATTACATTAACGTGTTCTACATGCTAGGGTGATGTGTTGTCTTATCACTGTGATGCCCGTTCACGTTTCCGACTTTTGTCTTATTTGCGGGTCGTGATAACACTGTCCAGATAGATCAAGTAGCTTTATGGGGATTCGGCCAAGTGACGGCCGTGACCATGTTTTTTACCTGTTCATGTACTTTGTGAGTCATCTTGTAATTTTGGTTGTCATCAGTTTCGTTTTTTACTAACTGTGGATGTATTTGTTACGCAAGAACTTAAGTCGACAGCTCCACTAGCTGGTTGTCAGCACAGCAGCAGAGAGTGGAGTAGTGGTGCATGGTGCAGGCAGTGTCGGCTCGCGTTTTCTGGCGTTTGCGAGCTTTCTAACTCAACCGAGAGTTATCTATAAAGAGATAGCTCAATTTCTTGGTTATTTCATGTGAATTTCTTTTTTTTAAATATGACAGCAAGCATAATTGTGAAAGGCCATGTGCAAAACTAACGAAGAATGAGCGTGACAAGAAAAATAACAAATATTACTTATCTTCACATTCCTTTAAAATAACCTTTATCGGTCCGTTGTAATTCCGTAAACGCTGCTTTAGAGCCCAGCATTTTCTCATATTAGATTTAATACGACAGGCAGAACAATGCCAGATACTACCGGTGACACAGATAAAAATCTCTCTGTGACAATGCAAACGTCTAATTCAGTACCGGAAAGGTATGTACAACTTTTTTATTTTGCACTTATGTTCTAGGAGAAATAATTGTTACATGGAACATTGTTTCAAGCATTTTGAACTATTGTAAATTGTATAATATGTTACCATCTCCCTTTTTATGGAGATTATGTATTTTATATCCAAATAATAATCTATATCAAAATTATAGTTAGGCTATTAAATAAATTTTGTGTTTCAGTATTGAGGAATTCTTGGAAGTACCATTGAATTCTGTTCCATATAGAGAGTATATGGAAACAGCTCCACAGTACATTCCAGGACAAGGCATTTCAAGATACATGTCCTCCCTTAAAAACTTAATACCTGTAAGGAAAAATAAAAAGTAAGTTTAAATGTAAAGGAATTTAGAGGTATGCCAAAAAGATATAATTTTCCTAGTTACTACTATGCAACTATAACTAAATGCAAACTTAATTTTTGTCAAAATCATAGTAGCAAAAAATGAATTATTGTGAACTGACTCATTAAGCATTTTCTCATTAATTTTCTCTCTATATGTAATACACGAAGAATAGATGATAGTGTTTAACAATTAAAAAAAGCAAAAAATATTCATTCAAAACCCTTTAAATATGCTACAGCTGGATAGAGTATTACCTCAGTTCAGCATTAAACAGGTTTAAGATGAAAAAAATAAAAAGTTGCAGACTTTGAGGTATAAAACCAAGGTGCATATCTTGGAAATTATGCTAGGCCCTTAAAATTAGTTTTCCTGACCCAGATGGTACAGGAGTTTGTGGGGGCAAGTAAGGTTTGGGATTACATGTGAAGGATAGGCAGGAGAATGAAGTGGAGAAATGATGCTGGGTTCCTATTTATGTTTCTTAAGCAGTATTCTAAAAAGCGAGATCTTTTTGATCCTTCCTTGCTTAGTTCTTGTGGGTGTCCAGAGTCCTTAACACGAATAATTATCACTATTCAGAAACTCTAAATCTATGTCAAAAAAATTAGAAAAGAAAAAACAAATATCTTTCACAATAAAATTATAGGAACCATTTAATTTTGTGTGCATTGTAATCTCAAGACTTAACCATATTAGAATTATTTCTCTTGCACATTTTTGGAACTGTATTGCTGTAACGCACAGTCCAAGAGATGGGAGTTCAAAGTTGGGTTCTTCTCTGAAGCAATTTTTACTTTTAAAAGAATTATCTACAAAGTAGTGAGTTCTCGCATGGGTCCAGTTAGTTTATATTATTAATTTACTAACAAACATTTTTTGATGAGTTATATTCATGAATAAATATAAAATGTTAGGCTGCACAATTCATAGAATATTGAAAAATAAAGCAAGAAAAGAAACTAAAAAGAAATTCTATGAAGCAGGGGCTGCATCATTGTTGACCTATGGAAGTTTATCAAGGAATTTAACATCTGAAGAGCAACAAAGAATACAAACAGCAGAGATGAAATTTGTAAGCAAAGTAAAAGGTTGCTCAGTATTAGATCAAATATTAAATGAAGAGTGTTCGATCTGATCTAAACATAATATATTCTATAAATATCTTATATTCAAGAAAGTAAGCAATGCTGGGTACAACATATAAATAGATAGCAATAAAAACAATATTAACACATAAACCTATTGGAATTACTCTTATTCCACAAATATTACCTATTACTCTTATTCCACGATAGTGAAGAAAATAGTTACTTTGAACTGAAAAATCACAAGGTTGTCGCTAACGTTTTTTGTTGTTATAGTTTAATTGGAGGGTAAATGTTCTTTAAATTTCTTTACACACAATATTATTAACAAATAGTATTAGCAAAGGGGCAGATCCTAGCATTTATTTGGAGGGGGAAGAAGTGGTACCGACTTGATGTGAGTCAATATAATAATATTACAGTTCTTATAAGGGCAACAATTTGCTAAAAGGTTATACAGCTGTTTTTCAAGACCTCAACATTGTTTTCATTTACCATAGAACGTAGCAGATGATTAATGTTATAGTTAAGTAAAAGTTAGCATGATAAAATTGTATGAAAGTTTTCAACAAGATTTGAAAACTAGGTCAAGATCTCAATGATCACCCCCTGGATCTGCTATTGCTAGACTTTCAAATGAATAATTATGCTGCAGGAGTTTAATTAATTAACTAATTTATTTATTTACATGTACCAAATTCCTCTGTATGTGTGCAAATAATTGTAGTTATTATTAAAAATCGTAAATATCGCAGTTATTAAAAGTTTATTATAATAATAAACTACTAATTTATGATTATACGTTTTATTTTAGCTTTTTGCCTATATCCAGTATGTTTGTCAAGTGGGTAATGAGCAAGTCTTTTCTATGCAGTTTCAGTTTCTTCAGTACCTTAATTTTACTTACTTCAGTTCCTGATTGTGCATTCACTTCTGTCACAAGTATTAATTTTTAAGGGTTAAAGGATCCATTAATGTGGATAAAGCTGGCCTATTTTCATTTATCTTTTATACCTGGCTATCACCATTTATCTACAAAGCATACAGGAAAGGACTGACTGCTGATGACGTTCCTTCAGGATCACCTCTTGAATCATGTGACCTTAATTCTCAAAGGTGAATACCTTTTCCTTATACAGCTTTATTATAATAAGAATAATTATTATTTATCTGATTTTATATCATGCTAATCTATCCTTATTCAGACTAGAGCTCTTATGGCAAAAAGAAGTTGCTGAGAAAGGAATTTCTGGTGCATCTTTTGGTTATGTTGTGTGGAGATTTGTTCGTACCCGAATCATTGCATCATGTTTCTTATACTGCCTGGCTTTAAGCATGGGGTTTTTAAGTCCTGTAAGTACTGTACAAGTAAAATAATAAATTAATCATAAATTGAACACCAATATCATTAGTTCTTTTACAGGCAATATTCATGCGACAACTTTTACAATTTGCACAGAATGAGAACGCAAGTACATCAGAAGGGGTAATGTGGGCTCTGTGTCTAACATGTGCTGAGTTTATGCGTTTGGTATTTGTTGCATGGTACTGGGGTGTAAGTAACAGGTTTGTACATTACACTAAAAATCATATTTTCATACATGAAACACTCTTGAAATATCATTTAGAATTTGTTGTTTTTTGTTTGTTTTTGGTTGTATACTTTTAGAACGGCAATTAGACTGCGTTCTGCCTGTGTTGCAATGTTGTACCGGAAAATTTTGCGTTTAAATGGCCTTGGAGAGAGATCTACTGGAGAGGTAAATTATAATTTTCTTCAAATATATTTATCATCAATGTCTTTGACACATATGATGATAATGATAATGATCATCATCATGATCATCATTCACAAATTTCCCTTTATATTTAGTTTTAACCTATGTAGTGTGTGTCCCTTACTATTTTTATTGTATGTAAATTACGTTCCAGTTTCACCATATTATAAATTAATATATTATGTAAATGATACTTCAATTATTTGTTGTGAAGACTTAGAAAACCCAAAAGGAAACAAACTTCTCAATGACATAAGTATTAACTTACCTATGTCAAAACAATCTAGAGATGTACACTGATAAAACAAAAGTTATTCTCTTTCATCATTATTGTATGTTTGTACTAACAATATTTGTAACATTCACGTAAATAACAAAGCCATTGAAAGAATTAAGTGCCATAACTTTCTAGGAATCACCATAGATGAAAATCTATCTTACAATGAACACATCAATATACTATTGCTGAAAGTAAGTTCCTGTTAATAAAGTTCTGGGGAAAAAAGTTCCAAACACAATCTATGTCTAAAGCTTATGTTTTGAAAAGCAACAGTGTTGGGGTGACATTTTGGAAAAGCAGAAAAAATTAATTATTCAGAGAACGTGTAGAACAAGTGTTAAGTCTGATGGCGGAAAAGTTCAACAAAATGAACTAGGCCTTATAATTGTAAAAGAAAGTAAAGTATTAAAAAAAGAACTAAACATGTACTAGGTTTATTACATAAGAAAATATCTGAATTCGAAATGCTAATTAACAGAATCAAAGGAATGCAGCAGCACGAAAAAAGGGAAGTAGTCAAAATCAATCGGGTTTCTAAAGAAGCAAACAAAACACTCTTGCAACAATTTTAAGAAATTTGTTAAAAAATACAAGCGAATAATTCACCTACATTAAGTTGTTGTTGAGCAATCATTGTATCAAAGAAGAAAAAGAAAGAATTACAAAATATATTTCAATAAATCTTTTTCACCTGAATTTAGGAATCTTTTAAGAGATGTAAGAATCTAAGATAAATTCAAAACTTTTGTGTATTCGAGTTAAAAATGGAGGCATAGTAGCACTAAAAAGAGGGTAATGGACCAATATTAAATGTGAAAAGATATTAATGGCATTGTTTAGTAATCAAAAGGTTATTGTTATTTTTATTTTTTCTTTAAAAAAAGAGCGAGGTAAACAATAGAGTTTATTTTCCATTTTATTTTATGAATGGGTGCAAATAACAAATTCAAAATTCACAAATTTTAGAATTGTAGAATTTCAAAAAATTTAGAATTGTACATGACTTTAAACAGTGGGAAGAATACGAATTCAATTACATTCTAAGAACATTGAATTAATATCTCTTATAATTTATAATTTTGTAGACATGGCTATTAAATTGTCTGACCCTGTATTTCACCAACAAAATTTGTGTATAGTACACCAATTTATTGATGAATAATAATTACCGCTCTAATGTTACAAACAAATTTGTAGAAAAAATATGAAAATTTCTAATATTTTTATTTGACTTTAAGAATGATATAATTCAATTTCGTTGTTCTAACTTGCCTTATATCCCACCAACTAACAAATAAATTAGCACAGTGCTTAAACCATCCAGTATGTACATACAATATCACAAACAAAAACGTAAATAAGTAAAAAATAAAATGAATTAAGTCATTAAAATTCAAATAGAAAATATAGAATACAAAATTTCATGTAAAGATTGCAATCTCAAGCAAAAACTCAAAACTAAATTAAGAGAATGTAATAACATCAAAGAACCACTATACAGACAAAATTCACTTTCTCAGCATAGTTTGGCTCTTATCAATCAAAGAGATTTTGAAATGTGATTATTTTATATCATGATGAAAAGTAATTTTTGAAATTGTCATAGGAAAATATGCATATAAAACTACATAGTACTGTAAATACCTTTGTAGAAAATAATCAAATTTTAGAATTTTAGAAAATGTAGAAATTAAACAAATTTCTAGTACTTATAGTAATTTGTTCATGGGAGATAGAAATTTCCCACATAAGATATTCTATGCTTGTATTGGATAATAACCTTCTTTACCTTTCCTTTGTCCTTTCTACCTTGCCCCTCCCCCTGTTCTCAAATCATCTGTTCCATGAAACATTGCCCTTCCTCTCTGGTACATGAACCTTTTTCTCTCAGAACATTTAGCATTTAGTTTTTTAACGGTTTTTGTTTGCTTGGTCTACTGGTGACTTAATTTTTACCTATAATTTTTTGACATTTTTTTATCATTATCATCATTGACAGCAAGGATTAGACATCTTTATCTGTCCCATCTCAGAATTGTTCATGCCATCTCTTCAAGTCTTCCAACACTTCTTTTTCCTTTGGGGGCATATTGAAAAATAATTTTACTTATCCCATGTTGTGGCATTCTCAGGACATGACCTTTCCAGTTTTCTCGATATTTCTTTATAATATCTATAACATGCTCAATATTTAATTCTTCTCTGATATCTACACTGTTTTTGTGTTCTAATAGTGAATATCTTGCTACAAAACAAAGAAATCTCATTTCTGCAGATTCATTTCTACATAGCTGACCTGAAGTTAATGTCTATCTCTTGCTTCCATAAAGGAGTAATGGCGAGACAATAACTTTATAAAATCCAAGTACAGTTTCTTTTTGCACATTATGCTTTAGAGTTTGTTGTAATGTTCCACAAAAGTATGTGATTTTGTTGAGTTTTATTTCCATATTTCTTGATTTAATATAATTAATTTGATATCCAAGATATTTAAATTCATTCATTTGTTCAATTACGTCATATTATACTATCTTTGCTCCTGAAGGTTCAAATCCTTTAAATGTTCATTGTTCAATTACGCCATATATTACATATTTGCTCCTAAAGGTTCAAATCCTTTAAATGCCATCACTTTTGTTTTATTTGGTGGGATTTTCATAACATATTCATTAGCATCTGCTCTTTGAGTTCATGTTATTAATCATAAAAACATCATTTAAATCATCAACAATTTTTAATGATTTAAACAATGTTTGCGAGAGTGGGCATCCTATCTTACTGCCTGGTTTATATAAGCCAAATCTGTTCCATTTCTTAGCATTCGGATCTTGACTTTATTACTTTTGTATAGTGATTGAATTGCTGTAATAAGATGAAAAGGGAGTCCAATATTTTTCAGTGTTTCCCACAATAATCTTCTTTTAAGGAGGTCAAATGCTTTTATGTAATCAATAAAGACAGTATGTTGGTAATTTAAAATCCCTTCGCATTTGCCCTCCATGTCCTTGTCCTCATCCTCATGTGTATACTATTCTGTTTTTCAATGTTTTCTGATTCAAATAGATACTTCAGCCAATGCTCTGTTTTTGGGAAACTCCACTGTATATCATTATATCATTTTGTAATTCTGATGAGCCCTGTAATTTTTTTCTTTTTCTTTTTTTCTTCAGTAATTGCAGCAATATCAATCTAAGCTTTATCTAATTCCTTTTTTAAATCAGCTTCTTGATTTGAGAGAGCTCTAAATTTCCATATTCCCAGCTTTGATATTTCTAGTTGTAATTTGTTTCCTTTTTCTTTGCATATTGGCATAGAATAATTAGTCCAGCATGAATCATTGAGAAATTTAGTGGGGTAATGCCCCCTGGATGCATTGCGAGCGTGGGTTAAGGATTGTAATGGGGCTGCCATCTTAAAGCTTTTATGACAGTTTCTCTGCATATAAACCCCTGCAGAGAGGGCTGATACTTTCTCAGCCACTATGATATTTGCTTGGTTCCACATTTCCTCTTGGACCTTTGTAGTCTTTATACATACCCTGTGCTGGTTAGGGATACTATCCCAGAAGAGAGAAGGAGAAGAAACAGATAAATTATAGAGGAGGGGAGAAGAAGAAAAGGATTAAAAGTCGAGAACAGAGTAGACTAAGAAATGAATGACACCTTAGCCCTCGAAACTTAATAGCATTGGGGTCGAAGATATCACAAGGGATCAAAAGAGACCAAATAGAAAAGATTATAGAAATGCAACAAAAGTGTAAGGAGTGTTCAATAGTTTTGTGAACCTAAAGCATTACCCAGGGGTCACCAAGAGGAGGCATTCCACTAGTTCATCCCCTAATATTTTGTTATTGCTCTATGAATTGGAATTCCACAATATAGAATTAAAGCTGACATAATCCAATGAATGATGTAATAAATTCTATTTCCTTATTGTCCCTAAAGTGTTGAACTAGACAAACCTAATTCTCTGTGCTCTTTGTTGGCCAATGTTTAGAAATATTGAGTCTCTTTGTAGGATATACTCTTCTCTCCATCTATTATATTGGGGTTGACATTTTCTGTTCTAAGTAGAACATTCCAAGGCATGATGTGATGTCATTAGAACAAATTAAATAATTAAATTTGGTAGAAAGATGGAATCACCCTTTCTGTTACTAGGATTGTGACTCTGAATTATTATCTGTGTTGTCATTACTGTTGTTACTATTTATCATTGTCATTGTCAATGGTATTTTTTGTTTTTTGTGTGTGTGAGTGCTGTTTGTGTTAGAATGAATAGAATAATATTTTTTAGGAAACAAGGTATTGATATATATGTCAACTATATAAATTTCAAAAAGAAGCCTGTAATTTATATCCTATGGATACAATAAAAAACATAATGAATAAGAAACAGACTTCAAGTCTGAAGTTACATTTTGCACTTCAACCAATGATCTAATTGAGTATTTTCTTAATTATGCCTTTGGGTTTCAGCTTATCAACATCTTTGCTCTTGACACTCAGAGGATGTTTGACATGGTGCTTTTTGGGCCTATGATAATTGGAGGTCCGCTTGTTACAGTGTGTGGTGTGTGTTATATTTATTGGCTACTTGGTGGTTGGGCTCTGTTTGGGATGGCTACTTTTCTATTGTTTTATCCAACTCAGGTACTGCATATTATTGACTTTTGTGGATTACAATTAGTACTGTAATTTTTTTATATTTTAATTTCAAATAGATTACAATTGTATTTTAATTTTAAGTTGCAAGTGGAAATGAATTTGTCTTAATAGTATGATTACTTTTAGTATGGAATTTCCCGGTTATCAAGTTATTTGCGCAGCAAAACTATTATTGCTACAGACAAACGTGTGAAAGTGATGACTGAAGTTTTAAATTCTATAAAGTTTATTAAAATGTATGCTTGGGAAAATTACTTCTCAAAATGTATTAAAGGTATGTTGTAAAGCATCATGATTAAGTATACTCGTGATAATAGTGAGGTGTTTATCTCTTTTGGAAATTTATTATTTCAGAAATTCGTGCTAATGAGCATACATTGTTACAAAAGTCATCATATTGTCAGAGTATGAGCATGTCTCTTGCATGTACAGTTCCAGCTATTTCTGCAGTTATTACTTTTCTTGCTCACATTTCTACTGGGAGTAATCTCTCTGCTGCACAGGTATGTTTAAATATCCTTTTTTTTTAAATGCACTAGAAAATTTGATTACATCATACAAATACTCCTGAATAGTGAAATAGCATTTGAATATGTCATAACATCTTCTATTAATAATATTGTTATAAAATATGGTTAAAAACTTGAAAACTCTCATTTTATTATTTCATGTATCAAATCATGATATATATTTTGTACTGACTAATTTTAGGCATTTCCAGTGATAGTGTACTTGAGACAACAGGCAGGAATGGTGTTAATTCTCTTATATGAGTGTGGCATAAGAATCTTCGAAGGAGTTATTGGAATAAGAAGATTTCAGGTTACTCCTTTATATCATCTGAGACTGTCACTCTCAATTGAATTAAGTCCATAACTGTCATATTTCTAGGAAAACATTGTATTTAACATTGTAAATTCTTTCAAGGCAGATAAATGCTTTCATTTGACAGTTGTAAGGGTTCTCTTTTCTATTGTTAAAAACATTTTTCAAAATATTTTACCAACAACTTATATTATTATTATTTTGAAAATTTTTAAATTTGAATCAATAATTCTTAAGTTAAGGATTGTTTTTTTTGAAGGGGGATATATATTTTATTAAGATTTAGCTGTCATATTTTTAACATTAGTTTAAAGTTGTTTTGTTTTGTTTTTTGTTTAAAACCTGTGTTTGTAAAAGTTGTTTATGAACTATTTATATTTAAACAATGATGACAATGAATGCTTTACATCTCATTCAAACTGGATCAACCAGGTAAAAAAAGTGTTCTTGATTCAACAATAATTATAGAATAAGATTATTTTATGAAATCATATCTGTATAATACAACATTTACAATTTAACATATATGAGATAGTATATAAAGTTTTATCTGACAAAATTTACTTCTATAAAGTTTAATAATGCTTCTAACATTTTAAAATTAGTCTGCAATTAAAAGAAAAAACTGTCAGTGAAACCATTTTATCACTAGTTTTCTTTGCACTATCATCATCTTGCTTTATGTTCTCAAAAAGATTTCAACTTTTACATTTCTGAATATTTCACTTATCTTCATACATAATGATCATGTGTTTTTTGTGAAATAAAAATGCTAGCTCATGAACTAATACAATGTTGAGATGGAAGTCATAGTTCAGAAAATTGACATTGAGCCAAAAGAATATCACCTGAAATGATTGACAATAATTGAAACTGTTTCTTGAATCTTTAATAAGTAAAGTTGTACATCTTTCCCAAACTTTTGATAATATAGTTGGGATCCCAAATGTCCTGGTTTTTCCAGATCAGTCCTAGATTTTTAAACTTTATTCCGGTGTCCCAACAATTAATTTTTTTACTCTATAGTATATGGGGTTTTACAAATTCAACAATGATTGAAATTTTCTGATAACATACATGGTTATTTTGAATCCGTGTCTTACAATTTCTCAATGAACTATTGGTCAACGTGGCTACAATTCGCTAGAAATATTTGTTTGTTTGTATAATTGATATTTCGCAGTCCTTTTCGTCAAATGTTTAGTGACAAGAGTTAAGTTGTTTGCATTTGAAATAACTGAGATCAGTTTAATGTTAAAACTAATAGGGAAGTTAAAGAAAAAAGAATCAAAATGCCTGAGAGAAATTGCCCTATTGCACAAATTTTAAGAATTTATCAATGTATTTCTCATTTTGAAAAGAAGAATAACAAATATTCTTATTAAAAATTAACTTTCCTGCTTTGAAGTCTGAATGAGCATTGTTTTCTGATTTGTTTGTGATGTACACCTTCTTTGTAATGTACAACATTCTAAGAATTGAAATATGTGGCTACACCATCAATAGATTTAGCTTCAAAATTCGTGCTTCGTCTGGTGAATGAGTTTCCTTTCGTGAGCAAGAAGGTGGCTGGGTATGACTCCAGCCTGTACCAGTTCTGCAGTTTCGGACACATTTCTGTAGGAGCAGGCAATTATCGGTGCTTCTTTTCTCTGTACCTCACTCAGGCGTCGCCAGTTGTGTTCCCTTGCGAGTGCCACCCCCCCCCCTCCCATTCCGCGTTCCATGCTCCATAATGGGAGTGCGGCGCAGAGATGAGAATGACGCCGCTTTGCTGTTCTCGGCTTCCAACTTTTGCTATCAGCTTGCTCGGTCTCCGGACAACTCGGTGAAGCCTTAACACTGCCCGCTGTATATGTTCACCGAAGGTGAGTTAGGTGTCATACGTGAGGCCAAGGTATTTCACAGACGGCTTTGTTCGGATAACCTCGGTATCGACGTTCATGGAAATCAGCGTCGGTATGTGTACCCGTGACTCTCCCATGTTGTGATGTGTCTCATCACCTGGAGCTCTGCCATAGACCGTACCTGGATGATGGCTGCAAAGTCATTGCCGTACTGTCAGGGCTGCAGTGGCTAGGTGATGCCCAAAAGACTGGAGGTTGCACCTCCATCGAATGACGGAAATGTATTTCAGAATTTCAAAAATTCAAAATACTATTATATAATAAAAATGTAAGCAATTCAAATTAATTAAAACCAAGTTAAATAAAACTTTATATTCAGTCACGTGAAATGTGCTCGTATCCTAGGGAGAATCGAGCGACAACTGGGCGCCTTCTCAGTTCATGTTTCAAGCAATTAGTATTGATGTGTATGTACACGTGAAGGAGTTGGAAATATGTGTAACGAAATTTTAGAAACGGAGGAAGGCTCAAAAATTACAACTTTTGTGAACATGTATTTATTGAATGACCACAGACGATTCTTCATCTTGAATAAACTAGCAATTTATATTAGTATTTTTGGATTTAAACTCTTTTATTTAAAAGCCAATTCAAGATACTATTTAAAAGTAAACAATTACAAATGAATTGAAGTAGGGAGATGAGCCCATTTCTAGAACGGAAGTAGTCGATGACAGTGACGTCACCATGACGTTTCCGTTCCAGCCCCGGAGAGTGTAACATCACGGCCCAGGTCGTGAAGGGATGTGGATAAAATAGGGTGGGTGGGGATGGCGGATACAGGTGGGGTGTTTCACAAAGACTGTCCAGACCGGGGAGTGTGGCTTTGAAAGCATTCGATCACCGTTTTCCAGACCTCAGTATCGAGCATGCCGCCGTGGCACAGCTCCATCGGTCATTGTTTCCTGTTTGCGCCGCGATTTCACCATGTATTTTAAAACCCATCACACCCAACGCTTCACCGTGGCCCTGCCCTACCCTACCCTTCCCACCTACTGCGTTCCCCTCACCCCTCACATGTGCTCCCTATGTCAGAGCCACGCCCCCGTCCCTCACAATCACATGCGTTCCTCTCTTCACATTCCTCCCCCTCAACTAGAGACTCTTCCGCCCTCCGCCAGGTGTTCCACCCGTGCTACCCAAGGGGACGTTGCGTGGCGAGACATCACGGGCCGTGATGTCACCTACATCTTCTGGGCCTGACATCGCTATTCGCTACTTCCGTCAGACCTATTAGTAGATACGAAGAAACTAAATACTACTAACAATATTTAAAAATAAACTATATGCGAGACCATCTTTTTTTTCATATAAAAATTGCCAGGAAGACAGTTAATAAGTAAAGTATTCTGTGAATTATTATCGACATATGATAAAAGGAGGAAATTTTCTAAATTGAAACTTAATGAGAGAAATGCTTTTTTTGAGAAAAAACCGTACATAAAAATTGGGATTTGGAAAACGTATCCTCTATAGTAAATACCTTTGTATGTTAATATTAATTATTTTTTCAACATTTTTTTCAATTTTTGGCAAGGTGCGGCCCTAGTCTATGGTCCGTGGGTATTGAAATCCGGCTATCACTATAGAGAGGAGGATGGGAGGAGGAGGGTCGCCCTTCCCCCGTTCACAATAACCTGTCACTTTTTTCCCTTCGCTTGGAGAAGATTGCCTCTCTTAGATGGGCGTTACAATGTTCCGATAAAAAAATTGCGTGTATTCCCACGCTGCTATTTTTAGTCTATTGCTAGATTGTCTCCAGGCCCTGAAGTCTAATCGCAATCAGTTGTCAAGAATGCCATGGTACCGCCAGGTGTCATCTCCGAGCATTTCTAACCACGCGTCCCTGTCACTACCCAGCGGCCAGAATTGAGAAGGAATTAGGACAGGGGTAGGGTTTAGGGTGCTTCACAGAGGTTTCTGGAAACCTTTTAACATGAGATTGTCCTGGGATCGAACCCAGACCTCCTTGGTGAAAGGCGAGCGACATCGCTCTGCGCCACGAAATGCTTGCATTTGTTCGGTAGCCTTAAAGTGTGTCTCATCTATAATATCCATAATCCAAGCATCCATAATAAAGCGCATGTAATCAGAGTCGAGGTTTCCCGGGTCGCTTTCTAAGTTTTTTGTTCACTGTCTTCTAACCTTATTTCAGAAGATCCCTCTCAACTTCGCCGATAAGATCCTTCGAGCACCGGAATTTGCACTGGTCGATCGCACTTACCAATTTTTAGTTCGCCAATAGTGTTGGGCGGATATTAGTGCTGCTTCAGGTACCATTCTCGCTCTGGGACTCGGTGTCGGCAAAGCAGTTCCTCCTCTGTTCTGTTATATCATCAGCCCACCAGTATGCCGCACGCCTGCAGTTCTATGACCATGCAATAACTTATGTTAATAATAATAATAATAATAATAATAATAATAATAATAATAATAATAATAATAATAATAAAGTTAATAGTCAAATAACCTGGAGAGTGCCGATACTGCTCAAAGTTTTTGGCTTTTAGTGCATTACACTTGTACAAATGGTCTGTTATTCAAATCCCTACCCTTCTGTTACAATCTTAATGAGTAAGAACATGACCAATGAATGATTGACATTTTTTCTGCTAACTAGTAAATTAGAGTTTCAGATTCATCTTGCATTGTATGTGATCACAAATTTGGAATCTCCATTTTTTTCTAAATGTACAAGATGATAGTCGATATTCAATATAAAAAACCTATTAGCTCATTTTTAAAGAGTGTTTTTCAAATATTTAATGGTTCCTAATTTTTTGGGACACTGTTCTGTTGTGTTGGCAAACTAACCAGAGAGATGGTTAGTTCAATAACACATAAAATGTCTGAGGGTAGTGAAATGGGTGTATTGAAATTAATTCTGTAATTCCTTGTTTTGAAACACTATAGAAAATCAGAAGAAAATGTGTTTTACTTGAGAAAATAATTGTTTTAGTTTTCATTTTTGTTCATCACATGTTTTCTTTCCCAATCAGCAATATTTTGTTGCTCCTATTTATGCTCAGCAAATAAAAATCATTTATATTCTCACGAATATAAATGAAAAATTTTGCTTCTTTCCTGTTT